GGCTTTCAGTTAACTTCTCAGAGGAAATACTTTCAAAAGGAAAAGTTTAATTTTGCCAAGAATCAGATACGGTCAGACTAATTAGGACAAACCAAAGCTTTGTAGGTTAGAGATGAGCGCAGCTCTCTCCGTGGGGTAGTGATAATGTGCTAGTGTAGTAGGAGAAAATGAAATGTGTGAGGATGTTTAAACTTGCTGAAATTCTGCAGTTCTGTGTGTATCTCTTAGCATACTATCAAGTGTATTGTTGCATTTTAGAAGCATTTTTTTGACTTTTTTTTAAAAAGTGAAATTTATTAATCCTTCCTGTTTGTCTTGCAGTTTAACCCAACAGAAAATGGGCTCACTGAATTAACTAATTTTTTTTTTTAATACTATATATTTCTTAGGTTGCTGTTATTTCATTGTAAACTGCTATTTCATTGTAATGTGATGCTAGTTCACCATAGGTTTTCAAGTATATACGTAGTGGGCTTTGGGGTAAATGCCTACTATTATCAAACAGTAGGGATTATATTTCAGCTCCTCTATTGGCAAAGCAGATGGCCTAAGGACTACACTGACAGGTGTCAATCAGCATCAGTTTTCTGACATCAGCTGACTGCCAGTTCATACTTAAGATCTGGACTAATACTTTCTCCTGTTCTTCCTTAGCTGCACAATAGTAAACCTCTCTTTTGTTTGCTAAAACTACTTTTTGTGAGGGTCAGTGGTCGTGTGGCCTTTACAGATTGAAAAAGAAAGAGGACAGCCAGTTTCTTCAGTGTGATAATTTACACTTGAAATACTAAAAAGCGGGTCCTGCTAATTCTGGTGGTCGTCCAGCAAAAGAGAGGCTGGAGATCTTTTTCTTCAGTGGCAGCATTAACAGAGCCTCTTCCCTCTCTGTCTTTGTCAGTATTTGTAAGCAGAGATTCTTTTCCTCAGTCAGATGATGTTAGATTGGGGAAGAGATCAAAAATCGTAGTTAGGAGGTAAGGAACAGAAAGTCTGTGCAGTTGTATAGCCTCAATTCCGTAGGAAAACAAGCAGAGGTGAGGTAAGAGGGATTGTGAGCAGGGACTTTTTAAGCTATTCACATCATTGTGGCCATTGCTTTCCAGCTCAGGGGAGGAATACAGAATGTCTCATCTTTGCTGGAACTTTTAGCTAAAGAAAATGGGATGTTTTGCCTTGTAAAAACAAGATTGGAATGAGAAGATGAAAGGGAAGGATCCTTAGAATCGCAGGAAGATGATGATTTGCGCTACTACATTAAGTATAATAACATACACCAAACAAAATTGCAGGAGAGTGAGGAAAGTAAAGTCAGAAGTCTCAGTTACATCAGGCACCTGAATGATGCTCTGCCATTCTTGTGTAAATGAAAACTAGGCAGGGAAGGGAAAGGAAGACAGATGGAAAGCAACTTTTTTTTTTTTTTAAACATACAGCTTGCATGAATGTCAGCATCCACTGAGTGACATTGCGTTTCAGAGAATTATGCCAAGTGGACAGATCTTCCCTTTTCCCTGCCCTCTCTTGTCCTTTACACACATAAGCTTTGTCCTGAATTGGAAGAGCTTTGGGAAGACAGTGCTGTCTACTGGAGAGGCTGGTGCTGCTGGAAGGGAGTTACCCAAATATTGGAGCAGCAGTCAGTGGTCTAGCACCTGCTGCCCCTTCAGAGAGCTGTGGGGACCATGAAGTAAGTAAAGTACTGATCATTTAAACAGAAAAAGGCTACCTGCCAGATGACTGTGCAGCTTGATGATGTTTTCAGATGGGTTTCTGAGCAGTCACACAGGCCATGTCTAAGCAAATCTATCTAGGCTTTCTGCATCAGTCCTTAAAACACAGAGGAGGGAGAAAATGCCTGTCTCTGGTATGTACCGTCTTTTCCACCTGACTTCCCAGTCAAAGAGGAGAGATTTTTTTTTTCCCCTTTCTGACAACCTCATACTGTCTGAGCTCAACAAAGACAACTTTGGAGCAGTGGTTTTTCAGTGTGTTGGATTTGAGTAAGCATCAAATGTGGACAGCTGTGCATAGAAATGAAGCCTCCTGACAGAAGCTTTCTTCTGGAGTTTTTTCTGTGCACTCTGTGGCGGTACCTCTGAACTCCAAGATGGGAGACTGGCAGAGGCCCACCCTTAGGGTTGTTTTGGAGTGTTGCACTCCAGCTGAATGTTTTACCAGTGGGTCTTAATGTCTATTTACATACTGAGTGGCCTAGAAAAAAGGCATATGTACAAAAAAACTGAAATGCAAAATAAACAGCAAGAGTGTTTCCCACCATGCTGATTTTAACAAGAAATACTAAAAAAACCCACTGAAACATGGAACAGTAGGGTACCATAAGTCAGTTTGAGATGACACTCTAAGCGCAAAGGGTCACGTGGATTGGTTACACTGGCTCTGCAGAGAGCTGAGAATTGCAAGGACTTGAGCTGAGGCTCAGTTATGGTTATACAGATGGTAATAATATCGCATAAACAGCTGCTGTTATTGCTACTATGGAAAAGATTAGAGCTTCAGAACTTGTTACAAGCAAAATAATGCTGTCCTGTTTGAGGCTTTCTTCTGACTGATTAGGCATATGGCTCTTGGAAAGGCAAACTGTGTGTGTGCGCTTGCATTCTTCTGCCTGTTTGAGTGTGGAAGCTTATAAACTTCCATTCTGTTTAGAAATAAAAAATCTTGGCATGGCCTTATTTTGGTAATAGGATTGCATGCGGACATCCTTGTGGTTAAATTAAAACAAAAAAAAAATGAACATTAGATTTCCTGTGAAGGGGTCATTGTTTGAAAATGGAATGATTAACGACTGAGATGAGAGATGCATGTGTAGCTGCGTGATCTTGCTCATAAACCCATACTGTAGCTCATTTAAAATAACTTTTTTTTTTTTCCCTGTGAGATTGAATTTGGTGTTGTCATGAGGAGGATACCATCAGCTTTGAAAGTTTTGGGGTTTTAGTCCAATTCCTTTTTGGATTTCTTGGGTCTCCATCCACCTTAAGTCTTTTGGGTACAGATTCCCGTCTCAGAATTCATTGAAAGAAAACATTTTTGTCTTATAATTGAAAACATCTTGTTACATGGGAACCTTTAGGTTGTTAAAATAGCCAATATCAAATACCAAAAGTCTTTAAAATGTCTAATGCTCCCCAGGGTGAAACAACTGTTCTGTTCTTTTGCCTGTGGCAAATGAGGGCACAGAGCTCAACCAATTTAATAGCACCTGTAAACTCACTTGAATCCCTTACAGGGTTGGTGCTGTCAGGTTATTTAGACTTTAAAACAACATGGATCTCAATGCTTTAGAGCCTCATCAGGAATATATCCCTTTAAATATGCTGATTTACAAAGGACGCGCAATTTATTATTTAATTTTAATTTTTGTTTACCACCCAGCACTGTGTTTTGTCTTTTCTTGATCATCCTCTAGTACTTGGCTTTCACAAGCATGCAGGATTCAGGATTTTCATTTCAATCTTTGAAGTCTGCAAACCCCATCTGGAAAACGGGCTGGATTCCGAGCTTCCTGGCATGGCTGCTTTTTAACCAGAATCTAAGCAGAAAATGTAACCTTTTTTAGTGCTCTTGTGGTATGACCTCTGGAAACAGGGTGAATTTAAGGATTTCTGCTACAGATTAGAACCAGGAGAAAATGTTTTTCTCTTGCTTCTACCTCTCACTCTTTTCAAGTACTTGTGCCTGCCAGGGCTTAACTCTTTTTCTTGTAAGCTCCTTCTTCCTCCTTGGTCCTGTTTGCCCTTGTTGATGCCCGCTCATAAGGCAATAGAGGGAAACAGAAGTGTGTGTGTGCGAGTGGTGGTGGGGGATATGTCTCAGATTTGTTTTTTTAACTGAAAGCATTCTGTCCCAACTGTTTTTTTTTGCACAAGCTCCATCTGCAGCCATGCCACTAAACTTGTTTTTCACTGCTGCTCCCCGCCATTTCTATTTTAATGTCTTCTGGTATCAGATCAAAACGTGTGCCTCTATCTTAGTCTGTAACGTTCTGCAACTGCAGTACTTGCCATGTAGGTAACTGATACCTCCAACAGAACGCAGTCAGTAAACGTGTGAGTGAGGAGAGGAGTTAGGCTATTTAAATGCAGTTATCTTCTTTTAGAAGGACTTTTTAGCCCTGGAACTTGGCTCCAGTTTAGTTCAATTTTTTCAACAAATTACTGGTGTGAATTGGTTGTGACTTGAGAAGAACTCTACTAATCAGCTGGAGATCAACCCCATGATACTTCTCATTATGTGGAAATGCTCCAGTTATGTGTTATATTCTTCTGGGTGTTAAACCATTCATTCAGTTTACCCGGTAGTAGAAAATGCAGCTTCTTCCTAACTGCATCTTCAATTTCTCATTTGGATATGACTCTCGGAGGACATAACTGTATTTTAGGAGCTTCAAGCTGTTTTGGGGTATGTTTGGGAGTTGGTTAGTTTTGGGGAAGGGGATTATTTGTTGCTGGGGTTTTCTTTGGTGTGTGTTTTTTTTCTCTTTTTTACATTCGTGGTAATGTGTTTTGTCACCTTGTGGGTGATTTTTAATTTTTTTTTTTTTTTTTTTTCCTTCCTGGTCAGCCCCATTAATACTGTAGTATTTGAGAGTAGATTGTAGTGACATCTAACACTTTGGTCTATTTGTACTTCAGGCCAAGGTCAAGCAAACAAAGCAATCATTATGGTTTAGCATTCTTCTTTAATGAGCACATTAAAATCTACTCACATCTACAGGATCAGATGTGAAGCAAAGGAAGAAACATGGAACTCTGGACAGCACTGTCTTTTTGAAGCAATTTATGGAAAAATAATAGACTAAAGGGATACGTAAAGACTCTGCTAGGAAATAAATGGCACTGTTGTTGACGGAAAGGGTTTTGGCAGAAGGTTTGTTGTGACTGTTTCTGTGGCTTGGAAAGGAATTTCCTCCAAACTGGACTAACTATTAAGAAAATGTCTCTACTTGTAGGAGTTGAAGACATACAGTGGAGTCTTCTCCAGGGAAGATGTCGTCTCTGGCAGTGAAAGCCCGTTGTCTGGACAAAAGAGGAAGTTTCTTTAAGGTAAATGGAATATTTATGCAGAACATAAAGCACGTGATTATATGTGAAAGGAGTACTGCAGAATATGCAGTACAGTCTGTAATACACAGCAAGCCTTTTCTGTAAAATGGGAAGCAAGCACTTCATTGAGCATCTCTTTTTACAGGTGTTGTTTGTAGTTGGATTACCACCCAGTTATTTCATGTGTATGTTGTTTTACTGTATGCCTGATAGACTATTTGGTGTAAAACAGTTTGTGGCGTTCTTTGCTGCTAATGTTGAGAACGTAAGCTTTATTATGGATGGGTATAAAATCATTTGAGCTTTCATAAACCGGATTTGTGTAGCTTGAAGCTGCAGTACACGTTTCTAATTTCCATTATTGGATTGAAAATTGCTTTAATTTCCTTGCCTGTTTTAAGAAAAATTGATGGGGGCTCCTTGTTCGTCTGTAATCTAAACACTCACAAAACATACTACCTTCCTATTATTCATATATATTTCGGTTCTTTTTTTTTCCCCCCTGGTTCTGCTTTGTTTGTAGGTTTTTGTGGATTTTTTTTTTTTTTTTTTTAAAAGCCTAAGCATATCTTAGAAAACACCAAGAAGCTGGTGCTTAGCTCACTACCATACTTTCAGAAATCCAGCAAGGCAGGTAGCTGCCTGTGTCTTTGGGTGCCTACATGCTTTCAGGGAGTCGAATGCTTCTTGCTTTAAGATACTCAGCCCAGCTTCCTGGATGATACGGGCACTGGAAGCTAGTAGTTCTTTCCTGACATGAGTGTACTTGTAGAGAGAAAAATAATTTCACTTAGTGTTTCTATGTTCTGGGGGCTGTTTTGATATGTCATGTTGCTTACAGTTCACCTAATACAGCATATTCCGCTATCTCCTTGTTTAAGTAATTCTCGTGTGGAAAACAGATGCTGGAATAGCTGTTTTGTGTGCCTCCTGTTCATGATTTCATGGTTGTGTTTACTCAAAATGATTAGGAATGCAGTATGCCTGAACAGTTTCAAGACACCAGATTCTTTAAGGTCATAAGAAACATTGTCAATTAAGAAAATACGGTAGTCCTAAATTTTCCTAAGGACAGCCTGGCAGGGGAATGGCCTAAAGAACAGTGGGAATAAAAGATGCCTCAAAGCTACCTTTTCAGACAGCTCACCATCCATATGAGAGTGTGCAGGGAAGATGCACTATTGGGCCGCCATTCGGAACCTACAGCATCAAAATGTAAACTGCAGGCAGTCAGTGTATCCAGCCTGTGTTTATTGTACCTGGTGTCTGTGTGTGTGCTTGTGTGGAAAGTGAAATTCCCTTCTCTTTCTTTCCCTCCCCTACATTTTAAAAATTGTGACAAAATAGATTTGCTACAGGTGGGTAGGTGAGCAAAGAACACACTTGGCACATCAGATTTATTTTTTTTAATTTACATGTTTCTAATCTGCTTTTTCTGTATGTCTTTAGAAGACCCAAGAATTAAGATAAAGCCTTTTACCCATGCTCACCTGTACTTCTGTATGCTCTCCCAGATGCACAGAGTGCCTAATATACTTCTACATATGGCTCTCATGTGCTTGTTACTTTACAGTTGTCCAAATAACCTTTAGCAGGCTGGCATGCAGCTTTTCAGAGCATATATATCCTCATAAAGAGTATCTTACCATTCTCAGCAATGTTTGAAAAAATTTATTGATAGATACCAGTGGGAAATTCTCAGGTTTACTTTTGTTTATGGTTCTTAAATAGCTCCCATTGCTGTAGCTTCTAACAATCTCTTAGTTTTTCTTTTTTTTTTTTTTCGCATTAACTCTTATGGCTGCTAGTACACCAGGGAAACAGTATTTCCCACATTTTACAAAGGGCAAAGGTCTGTAGTCTTATAAGCTAAAATCTGAGCCTTTATACCTTGCAACTGATGAAGGATCAAAGTGAGCAAGCAGTAAAAATGAAGCAAAGTTGGAGTTAGACTTGGCTAATTCTGGAACTGAATAGTTAGTCCAGGGTTACAGAGAGAGTCTGTAGTAAAGCAAGAAAATGAATTTGTCTCTTACAGATATCCTTTTTGCTGAACCAGCCTCCTCCTCATCGGAATGTTACAATTTTTATTGAACTGACATCAGAAGTTTTATGCCACTAAAGCTTTTCTCTCCCAAAACCAAACATCAGATAAAACTTTTTTGAATACTGATATACAAGACACAAATAACATAAGTGGTCTTGAGAGTTCATAGCTCACTGTATGAAATAACCATAAGTTGCAGCCATGTGTTGAAATATTTGATCATGTTCAGACATTTGGACCAGCCCAGAAACAGCATTCCCAGTTTGGCTCATCGCTGGCACTTTGCCACGTGGTCACACAGGGTGCTCTGTGAGGGTTGCTGTGCTCTGCTTATCAAAACAGGAAGGAAAAGATGTGATGCCAAAGAGGATGCAGGTCTCCAGAAAGAATGAAAAATGAGATGCTCGCAGGAAGGGAGGTGGTAAGTGCCGAGGCTTATTTGTCCAGTCTGATACTGATCATTGCTGTCTTCTGACTTTGTGCCCTTGCCGGATGAGAAGCACTCATCTTACCTTTTCCTCTTTAGCTGTTGTAAATCCAGGGCTTGGAAAGATTCTACAGTGGTCACCTTGGCTGACTCAGTGTGCTCTCAGAAAGAATAGCAGTTTTGTTAATTCTTTTTACAAGCTTACATACACTTCAACATAAAAACCAGGAATTCAGTTGCCGCGTAGTGATGGATGGGTGTTTTGTTGGATTTTTTTGTTGTTGTTTTTGTGTGTGTAGGGTGGTGGTTGTGGTTTTGTTTGTGTTTTTTTTTTTTTCCCCCTCTAAAGAGGTCCTGAAACGGACATCAAAGCCAGCTACCTTCCTCTTGGGCCTGGGAAACTCTTCAGGAGCTGAATGAGGAAGGCGACCTGTAGCGATGCTGGGCTTCTGAGAGGCACTGCTCCATATCTGGTCCTGGGCACGTGCGTTCCGTGGTGCGTGTAGGCAGAGCAGCTTTGCAAAGGTGACTGTAGCTCCCTGGGAATGTGTTGCTTCTAGTGAATGCAGTTGCTCTGATTTTTTTTTCCTGCTTATATGACACCCTGAAAGATGCAAAGCATCTTTCATAAAAAAAAAAGGCAGAAAAGTGGTGAAAGAACTGAGGAGCTGAGCTGGGTGATGCTTGTGGCCTGTATGTAGGAATGGCATTGTCACCCCTGCCAGCTTCTCAAAGCTGAGATCAGTTTTGTTGAACAAAGAATCCGTTGACAATAAGCATAGTGTGATACATCACGAAAGGAAACGTTGTAGTTTTAAGATATCTGAATTTGATTATTTTGGTTATGGATTTTAGGAATGTAAACATTCAGTACATGGGTATTTGTGGCAATGTAATGTTTAGGTTTGGTTGTACTCGACTGGGCTGCTGCGTCAATTCATCCTATGTGAGTCAGGATGATTATTTGGGTTTACAGTGGTGGTATTGTAGTTTCTTTATAACTTACAGAACAGTGCTTTATCAGAAATAAACTCCAAGGGAAAAACTGGACAGAAAAATGCCTATTTATCATGTTATATAAGGCATCCTTTTAATTCAATTTTTTTTTTTATGTTAAATAATTCAGTGCTTGAGAAGATGTCATACTTCCAAAAGCATTTCTTTTCATGTAAACTTCTTCTTCCTGTAGCATAGCAGGGTAATATCTATTTCATAGTCCTAAATAATCTGCAACAGATTTCTTCAGGTTACTTTAAGTCTTGGGGCTCATGTATGTTTTACGCTAATGGGGGCCTCTGGCATATATATCCATCCAGCTATATTTTCCTTTGTAAACTGCCTCCTAAGGTCTTGATTTCAAGTCTGTTGAAAACAATGTGTGAGTTTTCCTGTTTCTTCCAGCAAAATAGGAGTCTCACTTGTGTGAATAGAGTAAGCTGTTTAAATATTTTAAGGCTTCTGCTAAGAAGGCATCCTGATGCTGCTGTGTGTTTTCTTAGGGTTGGATCTAGTAATAGTACGCACCCAGGATCATCCCTGCATTTTGTAGAAACATGTTATTAACAACTTGTCTTGTATAATGCTAACCGTGCAAGTCACACACACTGTATAATGACCAGAAGTTTCACTGAGTCTGAACGCTTCAGAAATGATGCAATAAAGTCATGAGTACACCTTATGTTATTTGATATAAAATGATTTCTCAAGTGCTGTTGTAATAGTATGTATCAGTTAATTGCAAAAATACCCAAATGATGTGATTCTAAAATACTTGTGGAGGTTTTTTTTAATCAGAAGAGTAACTTTGGTGGTTTTTTTTTACATGAAAAAATTCAAGGAAAATGAATTGCCATTTGCAGAAAATATTAGCAGTTTGTTATTAAAAAAGGGGGGTTTATTCCTGAAGATCAATGTTTTAGTTCAGGCATGGTACCTGCTGGTAGCTGATGGTTCAGTGTTTCGTGGAGTGTGTTCCATTCTGGGGGACTTTGTAGGTCAGGTTCAGGTTTGATGCTGAGCACTGGACATAGTTTCCTTGTCCAAGGATGACTTTTCAAAGACTGTCAGAGGTTACATAGTATACCCAAGAAATTTTGCTTATAAGAGGGAATGTGAGTATAAGACTATTGAAATGTGCCATTTTGTTTTAGTTCTCTGTAGAAAAAGAAAGGATAAAATTGCTAAACACAGGAAAAATTCCCCTCAGGAAAGACAGCTTCTGACAAGTTCCCTTCAAAGCAGACATACAGATAAGAAGTGGTTAAGATTGTCTTTGAGATGAAATTGTTCCACAGTGCTTGCCTTATGCTAGCTTGATATAGAGTGGTTTTTAAGTTAGAACTTCTTTTAAAATATTTTTCAATAACTTTGATCTTACATAATGAAGTACCTTTCCCAGAAAAAGATGGAAAAGGTAGTTGTGTTAAAGAGGCCAAACATGGCAGCTATACAAAAACAACTACAAGTAAGATCCAAAGATAAATTGGATATTACTAGGTATATTGGCTATATATACACCAAGGAACTGCAGCATTGGAAGGGTATACAGTATTTAAATTCATTTGCACTGTCAATATGTTCCGTGTTCCAGGGTCAAACTGATACGTGAAGTGATAGTGTAGGGTGCCAGCTTCAGTTTTTGAGCATGTTATTGTGCTGTTAGTACAGGTTGGTTTGGAATTCTTTGCTGTAGTGCCCAGACTTGTCAGTTAGCAGGCATGAGTCAGTTAAGAGCCAGATAGCACCACAGCAAGGCAGGTGTTGACATAGAGGCTAAAAGCCCATGGATCCATGGATCTGTAGGTGTCAGAACAGGGCATGCTTGCCAGCCAGGGCATTGCCAAGCAGTCAGTCTGTCTCCTTGAATCCTTAGCAAGCTTTTGAGGGAAGACTGTTGAAAGAGATGTATCTGTTGGCAGACAGAGCTGACATAATCCCTTTCAGGGGTTTGGTGCTAATCCCTTGAAAATGAATAGGTGATCAATTCCAATTTGAGCTGAGACTGACTGTCAGTAAGATACAGGTTTGATTTGCTTTAGGTTTTACCATGCCCCATGCAATGGAAGGAGCTGGGTTTGGGGGTGATTCCTCTGGTTTCTTGCTCTCTCTGGCCCCTTTGTGATCCCTCTGTCAGGTCGTACCATGGGGGATCAGACAGGGTGACCCATGCTTGTAGCACCAGGGTGGAGTTATATTGCTTATTCAATGGAAAGGGTTAGCTCTACAGACCTTATTCAATATTGCATGCAGCGGAGCTCTTACCTGCAGTAGGTCGGTTTCATTAACAGTTTAAATCCTTTAATTGTGTTTAATAATATGTTGATCTTCAGGTAGTGACTTCCATCACGAGTTCATATATTAAATGGTTAAATACAGTTGCAGATCACTGTGAATCAGTTCTCATTTATAATGAGTCTCCAGACACTGACTCATGTTGTATGCTGGTAGCCAGCTAGAGGTGTCTTCTGAGATGGCTCCAGGCAAGCTGTGACAGGAAGCCCAAATGTATTTACAGCTGGCTAAATTGCTCATATTCCTGACAACTTGATGCTTGAAAAACTTCACACTCTCACACTTAATAGGAAGCTGTGATATAAGAGTAAAACCTGTGCCTTGCCTCATCTGTGAGAAAAGTCTGCTTTTTAGCTCCTACTGCAGGATGAAGCACTTGGTTCCATTCCTGATGTTGCTGTGCTCATGACTTCACAATTTAAGTAAAGCCTTTGTGGCTATCTGGTAGGAAAACAGAAAAAGCTGTAGTCTGGTCAATTAAAATAATAATTCAGCTCTCAGTTCTGTTCAGGTGCAACTTTGGAAAGGCTGTAACAGCGGCAGAGTTGCTGCAGCAAGGACTTAAATATCCTGGGAATTGTTCCTTAGACCATCAGGTGCACAGGCCCACTCTGAGTACAGTGTATGACAGGACACTTCAGTGGAGGCTGGTAGTTTTGCTTTTGATTTTTTTCATGAGTAAATGTTGGCCCAAAAGCATGTTTCCTACTACTAAGTAGATGGCTGGAAGACCTGAGTGGTCTGAATTCCAGAGGTTTACTGGTCAGATTGTAGTGTTTTGGGTGGCTGATCCAGTTATTGGCTAGTTTGGGGTGCCTGAACTGGGGCATAGGTTCTCTGTTCCCAGGTCAGCAGAAGCGCAAAATCCTGGGCTATTTGCTAGGGTGGCTAGTAAAAGGGCAAGATTTCACACTGGGGCTGAAGGCATCTAGCAACTTGCTGAAAAAGGCAGATGTGCTCCCAGCTTGTGATGTCCTCTGTTTCCTGGTGTCTGCTCTGGAGCTTCTCTGCCCTCCTCAGAGATGAGGTTCAGGTCATTAAGCCAGCAGAAGATGAAACAAAATACAAAGTGAACAAGTCTTCCAACCTTTAGCAAGCTGACCCAGCTCACAGCTAGATGAACAGCCAAGCCAGCCCAAGGGAAGATGTGGGACCTCGCTTTTAGGGGGCAGCATGTGGCACCATGGCGCTCCCCCTCCCTTGTGTCACTGAGAATAGCAGCTATACTGCATTCCAGGGGATTACAAGACCATATGTACTAAGGATGATGATACTAATGTGGCTGTAAAAGAGGGGATCTGCAAGATACAGCCAGCTGTGTGCTGACTAGAGTCTGGTGCTGCTCTCTGAGCACCCAGGTCAAAGCTTCCCTCCCCCTAAGGCGACACTGCTGCCCATAGCCACTGCCAGGTGCATGTGATGATGTCAGGCTCACCTGACAGCAGTAGCATGTCTGTTTTTCACTGTGTAAAGCCAGTGTGGAGGCTGGATTCATTCTTTATGCAGGAGGAGGAATGAATTTACCTGTGCCTTGCAGGGCACTCTTTCAGAGGTGTGAGGCTGCTCCACTGGGACGAGTGCCTCTGTTGCTCTTCCTCACGGTCAGGAAGGCATTGCTCATGTCTTGCCACACTGACTTGGGGAGTGTTTGAGAATCAGCGGGTGGAAGGTCTTTGTCAGCTGTAAGGCCAGTGGTACAGTGTGACTAGGAGCTCTGACCTTGAGAGAGAAAGAGAAGCCATGGATGTAGTATATGGCTTAGTGTAATTCTCACTTAGGGTATACTTAATGGAGTGGGTCTTTTGTAATCAGAGACTCCAGCTTCTTTTGAATTGATCAGAATAATGCTGCACAGTGAAGGAGGGTGTGAATTTCTGAGGCAGAGGAGACTTCCAATAAAACGGTATAGAGAAATGTTGCCTGCAGTTCTTTGAACATGCTGCATTCCTCAGCCTTCCTAACACTAGTGGGACTCTGGGTTGTGTCTTGTGGGCAACTATGAAGACTGACTTGGACTGGAAAGCTGTTTTTGCTTGTCTACCAGGGGTTTTGTTTGCTCTGAGGTGTGTGGCTGGTGGTAGAAGAGATGGCATCACTGCAAACCTTGTCATTAGGCAGGGGAGAGGAAAAACTGCCAGCATTTATATACTGTCATGGTGTGGTGCATGAAGCAAACGGTGCAGTTACTGCAAAGAACATTTAAGGCAGCATGCCTTGCAAACTTCATATTTGGTTTCTGCTCAACACAATGTTTCCCAGACATCTGGCTAGCAAATGCTGCATTTCTCCGGATACAGTTCTAGTGCTAATTTCATGCACTTCAAAATGAGTTCTTGCCCTCATGTCCACAGTTAGGATTGTGTTCCACCTGAGCTGAAGTGTTACAAGGTGATTGGTTCTTTTTTGAGTTGTTCTGTTCAAGTGCAGTTCAAGACCTAATATAAAAAGCAGCCACCCATTTCCTTCTCGCCTTGTTACTTCTCGTCCACCACAATATTGTAACATGCTGGCTTAGTGTCCGTTCTGAAACAAGTCTTGCGGATGGAACTCTTCTAGCTATATTTTTTCTTTCTATTTGAGAAAGTAAATGCTGCAAATGATTAAATCACATAGTTCTTCTAAGCTATTGTATAATATGTTGAGGCTGCAGGTATTTCAATGGAAAAGCTAGCCAATCGGAAAGGTTTTGTACTGGCGCAAAACAGGAATTGCTCTTCCTCTGAGAATGATTGAGTGGCTCCAACCCTTACTTTTTCCTTTGCAAGGGGAAGTCCAAATAGGATGCAATTTTTTTTTTTTTTTTTTTAAAAAAAAAGTTTGTAATCTCTGGTGACTAAACTTGCCCAGGCTTCTTTTCCACGCATCTTTCACTCACATGACATCATACTATTTTTGTCCCTTTCTAGCTCATTGATACAATTGCCTCAGAAATCGGAGAACTGAAGCAAGAGATGGTACAGACAGATCTCACAGTGGAAGATGAATCTGCTGATTTGCAAAGGTGATTAAAATGTTTCTTTTCATAGTTCCTGGAGGTGTAATATGACAATATTTTCATTGTGCTCTCTTCTAGGGTGTCTTATGTTGTAGTACTCTTGATCCCAGCAACATCGGGGGTGCAGAGAATCTTCCTCTTGATTCAAGGAGTTTGCCTTTGTGCATGAGTAGTGCCCAGAGATTCAGTTGTTCTGTGTGCTTGTTTTAATATCTTTTAAAAGCAACTGAACTTCGCTTCTACTGCCTTATTGGAAGCCCTGGATACTGATGAGTGTATAAAGCAGGAAACTACTAATGCTCTTCCAATTGTTCATGGCAATGAGCTTTGCTTGCATGCTGTAAAGACTAAAAATGCCCATTGCTTCAAGTGTCTTTTTGAATATTCAGCATACAATAACATGATTTATATTCTCAGGCTAGGAAGTAAAATCTTGACTGTTATGAACTGGTGCTTAAGTGGATTATGTATTTAGGTTTGTTTATATGTATCTTGCACATTTTTTAAAAAAAATTATTTAGATGGGAGCATTTCTTTAACTTTATTTCTTGAGATTCATATTACAGTGCAGATAAAAATTCTAGCTTTTTAAAAGACATCATACCACATAGGTACAGACTGGAAATTTGTGAAGTTAAACTTATACCTTTAGGTGGGCGCAGTGGGACCCCAGTAATTTGGGTTTGCTATGGCTGTTGTGCTCAGTTGGTAATGTCTGTTAAAGTGAGATTGGGAGGACAGTCAATATTATAATCATAGTGTTAACAAGAAAACATGGTTTTGTACTTAGTGTTGAAATAGTTGTGGCAAGAGGAAAGTAGCTGGTGCAGGTGTTGTCTTACATGACTACAGTCCAGGCCAGTTCTTGAGCTGATGGTGGGCTTTGTTCTTCAAGGCAGTTAGTTAATGAAGTGGATAATGGCTTGTTATTTACAAGTATATCCATGTTTTTTAGCACTTTTTTCTTTCTATTAAATACTTGTGAAATGTCTTAAAAAGTAGTGCAAATCAAACATTGAGAAGCACTTCTGTTGCCCAAGTGGTGAAGATTATGACAGCTGAATTCATTAAAGTCCTTGGCTCTGCCCCTGGTTGCATATTATTCAAGTTTTAAAGCTTTCGAAAGCGTAGTTCTTTTGCAGGGTCAGAAAGGACACTTTCTCCATTTCACTGTATTCAGCAAAATAATTGTAATGATCATTAGCTAACTTTCCACTAAGAAAAGATTTTGTGTATTTCTGAGTACACCATGTGCATGAAAGACTGAGATCTACCGGTTCTAAAATCTTGATGGAAACATTCAGCTGGAAACAATCAGTTAAATCTCCCCATTGTACAGATCCAGGGGATTTTTTTCCCCTGTTTTAACTGCTTTTAATTTAACTTGTTAATTTTGAGTGCAAGGCATACTTTGATTAAAATATGTAAGTAAAGCTAACAGATGGATTAATGCAATTTCCATGACTACTTAATTGCATTAAATTTTATATTGAAATAATAGCCATCCAATAAAAAAAAAAAATCATTCTCTTCTGTCACTTTTAAGATGATAATTCTCAAATAGGAAACATGAATAAATGTATTAAGGTCAATTACCATGTAATTATGAAATGTGCCCATCTATGTAAGGTAAAAGTTGTATGAAAGCTGGTATAAATTAGGTAATCAGTTGTGCACCGTTGCCTTCTATTCATCTAGAACTACAAAGCAAGATTACATTAATTTCAGCCAAGGCTTTTCAGAGTTCTTATTTAAACTAGGCTCCCCACAAGGATGCATTTACTATTGTAACTTCATTTGTAGCTGATTTAAAACTCTGTAATAAATGTAGGTTGCTTTTATTATTGTGTGTTCTGCTGTGTGGAAGTTGGCATCTTGATGTGGCATTTGAATTTGCATCTAGAGAAATTTGAGCTCAAAGGAATGTCTATTTTCCTTGCTTGTTTTTCACCCTAGAATATATCCACATCACCCAGAGCAGTTGTTGTTTTGGAAAGGTGGCAGTTTCAAGAGCTCTGAGAAGTATTCAGAAAAATAAATACATGAAATGACTTGGTGCAACTTCAGTGTTGTGGTGGGGGTTTGGGGTGTTTTCTTGTTGGTGTGGTTTTTTTTTTTTTTGAGGCTGTGTGGTGATTTTCATATGTATACTTCTCCCCCCAGTTATGGTTTGGACTTGTCTCCCCAGTTTATGTCTGTGACCCGAGTAATATTGAGAATGATTCAAATGACTGGGTCTACAGCTTTGGCTTGTAAACATGTAAAAGCCAGGCTCATAGAAGTGTTTTAAGCAGGACACATGCCTTCTCTTTCAATATTCCACGGCATTTGGCGCCTAGACTCTTTCCCAGTGCAGACACATCTCAGTAATGCACATGAGTGGAGCTGTCATAAAAAGGCATAAGTGGGATAAATTTGACCTGCACTGTACTAGTGACCTTCGAAAGGCTGACTAGAGAGCTTCTGTGTGCAGTGGCAGCCCAGGTCCTCTTAGGACAGGGATGTGCAAGTGGCAGCACTGGTAGCATGTAGATGGTTTCAGGCAGAGGCACTCAGTCTTCCTTGATGGCCATGGGGCCCCTGTGTGTCTGTTGTCTTTGTGAATGATGACAGGGGGAAAAGCTTGCTGCTGCCCCTTTGTAGGGAAGGCTGTAAAGCTCCAGTCTTCCGGGAGCATTTGGTGCCTTTGACACGATTCAGGGATGCTTTGCTGGTGGTGGCAGCTGCTGCAGCTTATTCCCTTCCTGCTGCTCTGTTACCGTGACAGGAGCAAGGGCAGAACTCTGCTCCTTCCCTTGTACAAATTTGGCACTTCATGGCCCTCATGCCTCCGTCTTCTGCATTTTTCCACAGCAGATATTAACTTGGGGTAGTCTTCTGTGTTGTGCATGATGAATTGCTTCTGTTGTTGATGGGTATGGGATGGAGAAGATGGTGACAGTCCAGCTGCTGAGGAATGGAGGTAGTGCTCAGCAGAGGCTTTCCACCCTCTCCTGGCTGATGCTCAGTGTGACTGTAAACTAGGCTGGTGCGATTAAGGCCTGTCAGATTACAGGTTTTATAGAAATCCAGGCACCTTTGCAGTAAGGAGTCAAACTGGATTAACTGTGGTGAGCGCCTGAGACTGGAGCAAATTTCACACTCATCTACAATTTCAGAAAGGTTCACTTTACCTGCTTCTTGCTGTTTTCTTTGTCCTTGTGACTTGGAAAGAAAGGTGGACTGTTGCTCACTGTTGAGTAACAGTGGTGTGAGAGAACAATTAATCTGGACACAGAGCTGTGTTTTGTAAACCTTTTCACTGTAGCAAGGACTTGACAGCAAGGCTTACTGAGTTGCATCTGTGTGGAGATGCTGAGCACCCTGCAGCCATGGGCAAAGAGCAGACCCTGCCCTCCCTCCGAGTAGCATGATCCGGGTGTGCAAGTACCCTAAAAACAGAGGCCAATCTAGGCAAAAAAATAGAGTGAGGAAATGTGGACACATGCAAGTGCAAGTTACGAGTCCATTATAGCGTCAAACCTGGTCTCTCGCTTGGCTGATCACTAGCGCTCAGTAGGTGCATCTGGGATGATAAGCTCAACTTCGGGTTGCTTTTTCATCTGGGCTGGTAAACAGCCTTCTTCGTAGTGTGGGAGCAGACTGAATACCTCAAATGCTGATGGTCTTTTAGGTTCTTCCTACAACTCTTCTCATTCCCTGAGAAGTGTGGGTAACTCCTTCCACAGAGGAGGCGTGTGTGTTTATGTAAATCCAACAGCAACTGGCTTAGTTTTATTCAATACCTTGTGCTCTGTAGATTTGTGATCAAGGTGTACGATACAGCCCTGTGGCTGTGAGCGAGAGGATCATCCTGATTACAGCCTTTCAACCTGTCCCTTGTCCTTTTTACTGTGAGCAAAATCTAATTGGTATGCAGCATTGCATTGTTTATCTTGGCAGTTACCTCTGTTTACTTCCCACAATCTTCTGAGTTTTCCTAAATCTAAGGAAAGTTACATGAGTCATGTGTTTTCTTCAATTCATTGTGAGTTGTGTTGAAACTCCTCTGCCACTGGAGAGGAACTAGTGTAGTACCCCTGCATTAGACAATTCATGGAGGTTGATTTGTGTTTCAGTCTTGAGTTTAATGTGACCTAATTGGTTTGTCTTTTATTGGAAGTCACTGTAAAACAAACAAAAACCCCCCCAAAAAAACCAACAAACCAACAAGCCCTCCAAAAAACTAACAACAAAAGCCCAAACCAAACACACACCAACCATGCCTCCCCCAACTAAAAAGTAAAGCCAGGAGGGAAATTTAATTGTTGCGTAATACACTGCATATTTTGCTAAGGTTTAAATTACAGCTGCTTCTTAACTCTGTACACTTGAGTTAGTCACGTGTTTGTGAGGAATTAAAATGGTTCTTCTTTCCATGCCATTGTTTCTGAAGAAGCTACACAGTTGCAACTAATTTTGTAATTTAACTCTAAGACATTACAAATTTCATGAACTCCCTTGTGGCAGGGTTTGACTGTATGTTTAGTGTGCAGATCATTAATTAAAACAATTTTAAGAGTCAGCAAACTCAGACTGTGATGCTCAGTAGTGCCAGACTGTTGGAAACACATTGATTGAAACGGACCAGTGGACTTAAGGCTCCATTTACCTCCTGGACTTCGTGAAGTGGCTTCTCAGTAGTTCAGATGTGGTTCACTAGTCGTGGCTTTTGGAAGCTATGCTCTTGCTTCTGTCCACCAGGTCTGCTCTTTCTCTGTGCCTCTTCATTTAGTATTTGGATAGGAAATAATTTTAACTGTTGCTTATTCCTAGTTTACCTTCCTGCAGATTGCAGTAATGTTCTAGTACTGATCTAGCTGAGGTGCATTGGGGTCATTTGAACTGGTAGTGTTCAGGAGTGCCAGAAGTCTTGCCATGATCAGATGCTCATAATCTTCAACTTATTACTTGAGGAGGGCAGAAGCAGCTGCAACAAGGAGGTGCATGTGTATCTAGGTCATTGAGGTGTGGACTCTCAGATTCCATTCCTCTTCAGATCTCAGCATGTGGGAGAGATTGTGCATAAAAGTGCCTGGAAGTTCCAAAAACCTGACAGCTCCCTGTTCAAATTAAAGTTATGATTTATAATTTTTTGTGGTTGCCAACATTAAGCCAGCCAGACCAAAGAAGAATGCTGTGACCCTGTGTGCACATGCCAACTCTTACTAGGTTTAGGTTCTTCCATGGTAGCGAGCAGTGCCAGGCCTCATAGCTGATACCAGTCATGCACCTTCTTTTGAAGGTGATGTAACTTTCTTTGGTCAGCAAAAATTTTTCTCCACTCGGACATGTTCCCTCCTCAACATGCTTAGTTTCCACCTCCTGACCAAGGGATGAAAGTAAGTTACATATTGTTAAACCTGTGGCAAGTGTTGGTGTATAACTTGCACTTTGCCACAACTTTCCTTAATTTGTGATGTTACTAACTGGCTCTGAAGGCGAGCGGAAAATTTGAGCAGTATTTACTGGAGTTACAGCTCGTGAAAACGCTTTTGTGATTCATGATTTAATTTTTGTGGAGATTCTTACATTGCAACACTGGGTTGTGCTGGGACCGTGGTTGAAAGGGGAACCCAGGTTTCTTATTGTGGCGTCAGAGACCTGCTGAGGTAAATTCTACTTCTGTGCATAACTTGTTTCTGTATATTTTGTGCACCTTGAAGATGTATTAGTGGTTACTAACAGTTTTTGGCATTTGGGGAGGGGAGATCATCAGCATTTTAGATCTAAAAGGAATCATGTTATGAATAAGCAAACGAAGACAAAAAGGAAAGGAGAGGCACACGTGTGATCTGGTAGTGATAACTGATCCAGGTAATGACAAGATTGAATGATTGTGGTTGTTCTTACCTGACCATGCAGTAGAAGTTCTCTACCCCATTTACATTTCTGTCTAGCCCTGCCCAGAGCTGCTGCAAATTGCTGACCAGAGCTAGAAGAAAGTGGGTCGGTTGTTTCAGGTTTTTGGTTGGTGGGCTTTGTTTTGAGGTTGGGTTGTTTTGGAGAGGGTTTTTTGTTTGTTTTTAAGTATTGAGTGCCTCTGTGCTTGTGAAGTCTCTATCCACTTACTCCGGATACAGTAGCTGGCATAGATGGCAGTAAATGCTGCTAATGATGCTTACTGCCTGTCCAAACCACAAAGGTCTGAAGAGCTGCAAGACACTTTTCAGTGGGGAAAGACAGCTGCATTGCCTTCGGCTGCTCGGTGCCTCTTCTGCCGCTGGAAAAGGTTTATGCAGAGAAAGCAGCCTCTGTGCCTGAGATCTTAGTGAGTCAGATCTTGAGCCAGCAGGGTGTTTTTTGTCTATGCTCAGATATTGTCATCAGGAACCTATTAGCAGAGTAACTGCTCTGTAGTGATTTCTAGGACTGGAAGAATCACAGGATGTACTTCTAGCTCGGAAATGAGGAATTTGAACCAGCAACACACGTGCAGACAGATATTCTGGGTTTTCTGTATTCCATGAATGATGGTGAAGCTTTGCATAACAAAAGGAGTTCTCAAAGTACTCCCTTTATTTGTATTTTAAATGCAAATAAAATGTATCTGTAGCCTCTGAGAACTGTACTTCATCACTGAATTTAGCAGTAACCATAGCTACCTTGCCCCAAATAAATTGCAACCTTCGTTTGCCATGTTCACACTTAGCTTAGCCTTTATTCTGCACACAGGAGTCAATCCAGAACCAAAGGAATTAGGAGCATAAATATACAATTCCTTACTTGCTTCTGATCCTGGGAAATGTTAGCAATAAGATGCGAGGTAAGGATCTTTCATGGCTATGACAAAACGTAAATATTTAGAGAATTTAGAGTGTGGTCCATAAAAAAATTAATATAATTAATAAACTATATTAAAACACGTATGATGATTTTTTTAATGAAACTATGCCTTAGGGAGGGTTCTTTGGAATTTAACCTTTCATTTTCTTTTTTCTTTCTCCTTTTTCTTTTCTCCTGCCTGAGGTTCCAGACCACTTGTTAGCAGAGTACAACAAAGATGGATATGCAGCTGCAAAGATGGTGGGGTTGGTGGAGGAGAGACAGTAGTCTAGAGATGATGAAGTGATGCTAGTTTGTGGGCTTCTGTTGTGACAATGATCCCTACAAGCAAACAAAGTGCTTGTGTTTGGTGATCACCAGTGAGTAGTGGGTTGCTCAACTGTCATGGTATTGAACGGATTTTTCTCATAGGCAGGACAGAGGAAGACTTCTGTGGGTTGCAGCTTTTGCAGTCTGTCTGGGAATGAAAAAAGAACTTAGTTGCATGAGTGCCTTTGAAGAGAACTTTTTCCAAATGTGAACCTAACAAAGAAGGTGAAATGATTCATCGATCATGTATACACCTGTATCTGAAGTGGCTGCTGAATTTCCACAAGCTAATAGAAGAATGCTAAGGCTTATCTTAAAGCTACTTGTCAAATTGAGGACAAGTGAAAGAAGATACTTTTTGTGTGTACTAACTATATGAATTCTCAGTAGGAGAAATACCAGCTCAGAAATAGCAGTTCAATAGGAGAAATACCAGTTCAGTATGCCAGCAGTGCCATTACCTCTGCAATAACTCTTGTTTTCTGAACTGTGTGATTGTTTATAGGAGGTTAGCATGTCTAATTTCTTTTTAATTTTTCTCAGTCTAGTAAAGGACATGGATAATGTCTCTCCTGAGAAAAAGGATGTAAAAAGCTGCCCCCGTGACTCTGGATATGACAGTCTATCTAACAAGCTAAGCATATTGGACAAGCTCCTCCATACTCACCCTGTGTGGCTGCAGCTTGGTCTGAATGATGCTGAAGCCATGGAAATTCTGCAGGCCCAGCCTCCTGGGGTAAGAAGTTACTTTTTAATTCATTTGCTGCAAGTGTTAAAAAACAACAACAAACAACAAAAAACCCAACCACTCACACAAACAAACAAAAAAATCCAACAACAATCCAAAACCAAACACCGAATGAAGTAACCAACCAAACAAAAAAACAGCCAGTATCACATCCCCATTTCTTCTGTGCTTTGGATAATTAAAGTGTGTGCTTTCTGAGTACTCGGCAGCTGGACTAGTGGGAATGTGACCCATTAGCTAGGGTGATACCTTGGGGGACTAGTTTGGGGTCCACCAGAGCTGAAGACTAGACTGCTGCAATTACAGCTCCAGAGCTGGACCTTGCTAACTAGAGTTGTATGTAACACGTGTATTTTCCCTCATAAAGAGAAAGCAGCAGTGAAATACAAAATGCCAGCTTTTTATCCTTAACTGGTGCCTGCATTAAAGGGGCTATGATGGAAACCAGGCCCTGTCTGCTTGGGCGAGGCTGATGGCATGCTTGTAATGCTGCCTCCATCCTGGTGCAGGAATGGGCTGGTGGCATCCAGGAACACTTCACCATCAGTCTACTCCAGACTCTGCGGCTTGACTCAGGTCTTGGAATTTGCTGCATGCTAAACTGGATTGCTCAGAGAAGGGCACAGTGGACTTGGTGTCATGCGTCAGTGTTACACAAGGATGAGACACTTCTCTAAATGTTCTCCTGGCATTGTACAAACAAGCTGTTGGACCTGATACAGTAACAACTGAGGAAAATTCTGGGATGATTTATACGTATCAGCAATCATGAAGTTGTTCTTGTTCCTTTTGTGTATTATCTGCCTCCCTTAAGGTATCTGTGATGAAGCTAAACCCATGTCCTTTTACTTACTCCACAACAGATATTTCTGGTTAGGAAATCTGCAAGACTGCAGAAGAAAGTTGTCTCTCTGCGTCTGTCCAATGACTGTGGGTCCTGCCTAAAAGAATTTGCAATAAAAGAAAGCACATACAGTAAGTTGTGAGTTACATACTTTTCAGCTCTTTGTCAGGCTGTATGAGCCAGGAGCACTCTGCACTGGTGAAACTTAGAGCAAAAGATACCCAAAGTCATGCAAATAGTGTCACAGACTGCCTACAGTGCTCTCTGAGAAGGGCTCCCTGAGGGGATTGGGCACATCCTGGAGAAGGGAATGTATGCAGAAATGCTCCAGGATGTGCTGGATGCAACAGAACTATTTCTTTTATGTACCTTGTTGAATCCAGGATTTGTTAGTAGTTACAGGTAGTTATCCTACAGACACAGGAACAGGTAGTTATCCTACAGAAACAGAGTCTATAATCCTGTTGTCTGCTGTCAATGAAATACCCTTGCATTTCCTTGTGCTCAGGGGACTGTTCTTGGATGCAACTCTATCATGACTCTGTCTACAAGCTTGGGTGTGGTGTTTCTAGTTTGTTTGGGGTGGTGGGTTTTTTTTATGTAATAACTAAATGAATTTTAACCCTTTGGAACTGTTTCTGATGGGATATCAATGATTTTTCTTTTTTCATTCCAACTGTGTTGTTCCCTGTTTTCTAGAAGAAATGAACAAATGTTAGAGTTCCCATCAGATTCAAAACAATACTGCCCTTATCTCTTTATTTCAGTTAAACTTCCATAGAGCAGAGAGTCTGTAGCTGACGCCTATTAGTAAACTGCTAAATAAAAAAAAAAAACAAAAAACAAAACAAAAAAAAACCCCAAACAAAAACAAACCCAAAAAAACCAAACCTTAGTCGTTTTAGCTGCAATTTTTCCTTTTTTTACCTCTCCCTTCCTAGCTCTCAGCAACAAAAAGTTAATTCTGTGTGTCTGATTTTGGTTATAAAACAAGTTATGTCGATGAGAAAGCCACTAGTGATAGCAAATCTAAGTGTGATCTAGTGGTTTTTTTGCAGGCTTGTTATACGACTGGATTTCCTCTCTCCCATATAGAAAATAATAGATTGTCTTTTATGAATACAATTTTACCACAAGGGGGAAGTATCTACTGATGTTTTTACTGAGAGCCATGGCTGCGGTTTATAATTGTGGTCAGGGATCTGAGCATTCATCTTCTCTTAGCCCGCCCCCAGATCACCTGTGTGCTAAATGTCTGTGTTGTTAGGCATGTCTTTAAGAGAGACACTTTTTCTAGGCATGTCAATGACCAGGTTGACCTGCCCTTCGGTGTTAAGTTGGGATAGACGATCAGTACCTGATTCAGGTTTCCCCTGGTTCATGAGCAGACTTTGTAGTCAGCAGCACTGGAACCTTGGCCTTACAGTGTGGAGTGCTGACATTGTTATGCCTTTGCTGCATGCTGAGAGGCATTGCTGAGGTATCCAAAGCTGCTGAGTGGCTTTTGGCTTTCAGCACCAAGCCGGGAGTATGCTGTGTTTCAGCCCAGATGTCTGAAGCATCTGCACTAGTTGAAGTACTCTCCTCAGGAGATGAATTTCAAAAGCATTCCTCTGCTGGTGAAATAGCAGCTGTGCCCAGCGCACCAGCTGGAGGTTCACCCCCCTGCAGTACAGCTTTCCTAACTCGGGGATGGGCTGAAGCAATCACAGACTTCACGTTCACCCCTTTATAGAAGTTATCTGAGGCTGCAAGAGACCCGTGTTCACATACTTCAGGAGCTTGTCTTAATGCTGTCGTTGCATCTCATAAATGCTCTTCCTTCTGGCCTCTGTCATGTTCAGAGGCTAAAGATACAGGTCATTTCATTCTATGGGCTTCTTCTGCTTGACTTTTGTACTCATTGGGTAAGATTTGCCACTGGAATCAGAGCTTAATATAAGTGTGGTCACTTACATTCACTTAATCACTTCTATGTCATTATCACTGTAATCAAGTATCTATATCAATAAAACAATGGTGTGGAGTGGAAAAAAAAAAAAAAAAGAAGAAAATTGCTGGTGTCTTCCTCCCTAGTTGTGTGAGGCAGTGGCACAAAGCAGAATCATCTGAGTTTTTCTTTAAAAGGTTTTCAGGTTAAACGGTTTTCTTGAAACAAATGAAAATTTCTCATCTCCCACTAAGTGCTAACACAGCAGGGGAGAAGACAAGTGAGTAGGATAGTATGCAAGAGGAGGAAATAAGACTTAAAATTTGGTGTATTAGTACACTGGGCAAAGAGCCTCATTTACTGGTTTATTGTGCATTAGCAAAATGTTGTGCAGGTCTTATCCCACTCAGTCTGTTTCCCAGGAATTAGACTATATGGTTGGGATAGAAAAACAAACCAATCACCAAGATGATCAGTATATTCTTGAAAATGCTTTCAGCAGAGCCACTCCTCCATACAATTGTCTTCTTTTAAGCAAACAGTAGCTAGTTTGATGGTGCAAACATTAAAATTTTTTTTTATTTTTTTTTTTTTTTCAAAAATCAGAGATGCATTTTATGAAGCTTTTCTAGGAAATGGTGAGATGTGTCATTCTTCTCCTTTTGTAACTTTCTTGACAGCATTTTCCTTGGAGGGATCTGGAATAAGTTTTGCTGATTTATTCAGGCTCATTGCTTTCTACTGTATTAGCAGGTAAGATGGTGTTACATTGTGAATTGCATTTTCTAGACTGCCTTAAGGAGTCTCAAGGACTCGGTTCGACATGAGCTTTTGCCAAGCTGCACATGCACGTGATACAAGAAGTGTTTATACCATGTAAGCAACTGGTCAGCACTCAGATGTGAAACAAACTGAAACTGCATTTAACGATGAGAGATTGCTAATCCTGTCACCCTTTTTGGTTCTGTGCACTATCCAGCTCCTGGTACATTCACTCTTAAGTGTCTCTAGGGAGCATGTCACAAGTGTAGGTTTCCTTGCATTTGTTTCTTTTTTTTTTGTTTTTTTTTTTTGGTCAGGGAAGGCTGTAAGTTGCTTGACTTTTGCTAAAATTAAGCCTACAAACACATGTGATGCCTTCCTTGCTCACGAGACGTGTAACTGAGAATCTCTCTCTGCAAAGTGGCTTTGATTTTCTTACTTGGCTGGCTGAAATACCATTGTTAATTCAGTATCATGGTGCAGTCAGGTCTCTCATTCAGGAAGCATGTACAAAACTGTATCCAGGCTCTTCACCTGTTTATTGTTCTGTTCCTTTTCTTCTTGCCCTTGGGGAAGGGGAGGAAAGTAAAGAGAGTGGCAATCTCAATTTGCACAGGCTGTTAAAGCTTTCCTAGTGCATTTTCTTAAACACAACTTTAGCTGCAAACTCATCCACAGGTACTTGTTGTAAATACAACTTCAGCTGCAAACCTGTCCAGAGCTTTTGGAAGCAGATGCATATTTCCTCATTCAGTGGAGAAGCATCCAAAGCGTTTGCCTGATGTTTTGTAAGTGGGAGCATCTACCCAGCATCTATGTCCTCTTCAGGCAGCAGCCTAGGGTTGATGGGGGTGCAAGAGGAAAACGTGTAGGCTTCTTAAGGACGCAGATATGTAGCTATCCTGAGAAAGAGTGAGTACCATTTGGTATGTCACAGCAAACCCAAGACAATTTCCTAAAACTAGAGGGAATTTCTTGCAGCAGATGCCCAGTCAGTTTGTATGAAGAGCCAAGGATTAGCAGTCATTGTATAGATGGTGTTCTAGACTCTAGATTATCTGTGGTATGATGTTGAAAATGTGTTTTCAAATCCTTTTCAGCTAGTGTATCGGTTGTGTGCTCATGCTCAATTTGAATTTCAGTGGCATTCTGAGACCCTGTTTTTTCAACAATTTAACATAAAACATAGAGAATATTTGTGATTAAAAACCCCACTGTCTCAGTGCTACACCAGATGGTTGGCTTGTTTGCAGCCTTAAAAAAAGTGATGCTGACATCAGTTGTATGTAGGATTTCTGTGCTTCATTTGTTCTCATTTACTCTTAATTATATAGGTACTTCTACTACAGATTTTTACAGTTTAGCATACAGTGTTGTTTGAGGGTGTATTGGTACCAATCAGGAAGGTGAGAGGTTTAGTATTAGTTGATGGTAGTACTTGCACAACATATATATGGTTAAGTAGTTTTGTCCCTTAAGACCTGTCGGAAAGCTTTCTGTGCTGGATTTGGCTTATGTTATTCATGCATTGCCCTTTGTAAACATCCATTGAACTTCTGGTGTGCAGTGAACAGAAGCCATATCTGATCATAAGTGACAAAGACTTTCTTAAGTGAAGTGTGTTTTCAGCCTAGGACAGAGTAGCAACAAAACATCCTAGCTTAGACATTTTTAGGGTAGATGCCCAAGTACTCATTTAAATTTTCATTCTGAGAACTGGAGTTCAGCTTTGAGAGGACTCAACAGCATATTCAGAAAATAAGAACCTTCGTTGAAGGGTTAAGGACAAGTAACGCTTTTGCATCTCACTGATATGGTTGTAGAAGACCAGATGTAAAGCTTCTGTCGTAATGGGAGAAGATACTGGATGGCTCTATGGAAACAAACCGAACTAAAGTCCTGGGGACTTGACTGTCATTTGCACTTCATGCCACTTTCCAATGTGAAGGAGCCCTAGACTTGGTAATGTTTCCTCAGCAAAATAAAAAGTGTATTTTATTTAAATACGCTTGAAGTGTATTTAAGGCTCTTGCTACGTGGCACAGCTCAAAGAAGAAAATAAGAATCAGACCTCAGCCACTGGCAGTGTTGAAAATAAATGCTTTTAAAATTATCAGTGTTTTTGTGAAAACCATAATTGTTTTTCTCTTTGGCAATAGGGATGTCCTTCCATTCACCCTGAAGTTGCCTCATGCTATTGCTGCAGCAAAGACAGAAGCTGAACTTGAAGAGATTGCTCAACTTGGACTGAGTAAGTAGTTCTCTGCGTAGGTGTCACTCACTGTAGCATGGCTGTAAGCTTAAAGAAATGGTCTTTATCAGTAAGTAATTCATATTGGTCAGTGCTGATACAGATTTCATTTAGAAAAGCAGCTTTGCTTATTAGGAAGGCCAAACCTTGTACTTGCCAAATGATAACCTGGGTGCTCTTCGTTCCTTTTGTGCCTTCTGGTGATATGTTAGTGCAGTTTCCTTCCTTCTCCTCTCCCCTCTCTGCTTAGTACTTGGGCAAAGAAAGTCTTACAATCTCCAGACAGAGGTTTGATGTAGCTGCTTCTCCAAAGACTAATGTTGGCTGTGGGCTTGCATAGCAGGCACTAGCTTGATAGTTTGCTGGAGTTGCTAGGAGAATGTAGGAACTGTTAATAAAACTTCTGTTCAGATTGACATGCAATCTTAGAATGGTGATTTTTGAGGTCAATGGCTCAACTCAGTACCATATTAATAAAAAAAGGAGTGTGCCCACAGGGTGTGCAGAGTGTATATATGTGCAATGGTTTAGTAACATTTTTAAAATAACAAAATGAAAGGATGTGTCCTTGTGTCGCTTGACTGCTGTAACCACACACGCATTGTAAAACGTACCTTGAGCTTGCAGGAGACCCAAACCCTGGCAGGATTTGAAACATGGGTTCCACCCAGATGAATCTTGAGCAACTGCTACAAAGTGCTGAATGTCCTCATTTTCTTTTGCAGGAAGGGAGAGGGTTGACTGTCAGCAATCTTTGTACCAGTAGATTTTTGAATCATCTTTGATTTACAGATGGATTCTCTCTAAATCAGAGTGCTAGCATCAGACTCTAGAACTATTTGGTGGGACTTTGCAACAAAGCTATATGTAGGACAGTATTGCACCACTTTGCTGCAGTAGCATGAAGTTAAAGAATTTATTCTAGAGAGGAGACAAATGAGTTCTGCACTGCTTATCTGGAAGTTTAGCTAATTAGATGAACATATGGTCTTTTATGGGAATAGAGGTAAACATGGAACTGCTGATTAACTGAAAGTTTGGACAGAATATAAAAGGGTCTGATGGGGATACAGTGTAGTGAAGGCACCTGACAAGGTGACCGGAAGCCTTAAAGTAACATTTGGTGAGTTTCTCCATAGGAGAATGGTAATGGTGATGGTGTTGAGCAGGCTGTCCAGATGAGCCATGCTGTCTTGTCCTCAGTACTCCAGAGCACTGTGCCATGCTTGTTGCAGGGTTAGTCTTGATCTTGAACAGTCTCTGTCTATGGTGTGTATGTTGTTTCTTCAAAGTGATACTTTTGTAAGCTGAAAAGGGGACTGATGGATCACTGTCCAACTGTGTGGTTGTTTTACTTGGGATCAGTTGCCTACTACATACCAGATTAGCGTCACAGTTTCTGTGAGCAAAAACCAGACACCAAAGTTGAGATTTTGGAGTTTTAAGTGTTCACGTGCAGAAGAGCACGCCAGGAAGGCAGCCCTTCAATGCTGTGGACCAAAGTGACGCCTAAAAACTCTCAAGGGCCCTTCCGGTTAAGCATGAGCTCTCATTAAGCAACCCGTAGACACAAAACACCCTAGTCTGAAAACGGAGGGTCGTAGCTCCTGCCAGAGCTCTCTTATGCCTTAGGCTCAGAGGGTGAACTGTGCAACGCAGGTTAACAGCGTGTAGCCCAGCAAAGCACATCAGGAGAAAAGAGTAGTAAAGATTTCGAGGCTGTTACCAGCCTGTAAGTTTTCACGTGCTGAACATAAGATTCCCCCTCTGCATCTCCTGCGTTTCACCTGCAGCGGTGCTTACATCATGTGTGATTGCAACAGGCACACTGGCCAGTTTGCTGAGGGATCTGCAGGCAGGATGTGAAGTGATGGAGCTGGAAAAAACCCAGCAGCATTGCATGACTATGTGGAGAAATATGCCTGAGCCTACACATGTTCTCTGGCCGTGGCTATCACCACGGGCCGTTTCCTGTCTTCTTGCCCTATGGGCAAGACACAGCTATTGGGCATGGACCCTGTTGTGTAGTGCTTGGCATTCAGGTGTCATTGCTCAACAGCTCAAACAAAGGCATCTTTACACTACAGGAAAGGGGGCTGTGTCAAAACTGGCAAACTTTTATCAAACCCTTCCTCCTCTGGTATTCCCCCATTATTTCAGTCTGGTTGCTGTCTTGAAGGGCTGATCTGATTTCAGTCCTCATACTTGCTGGCACTTTGCTGGGACAAGCGCAGAGGCCATAGTTGAAACTTGCTGGTTTAGCAGAGGTTTTCCATAGTCCTGGTGTGGGACTGCACATTTGGTCTACTTATGTGCCACTGAGTGTCTAAAACCTCAGACAAACTGTATCGTCATTGCAAAGACAGGGCTGCAGGCCAGTGCTCTTAAAGAGATGTGAGAGTTTGGTCTGTGTAGCCCACCACAGCAAAATGTGAGCTGTCTTTTTGTGTGTAGTCTCTTTTGTTCACTGTCAGAAGAAACCAGGTTAAAATCTTTGAGTTGCCTTACGTGGCCATCAGCTGGTGTAAATCAGCCTAACTTGTCTGTTAATGGAGTGTGCTTATGAATACTAGCTGAGTATCTAGGCTTATTTCTACTGAGTGAGATGCTTGTGAGTAGTTAATGTTTATTTCAGTCTAAAATTGATCAGAATTACTGGATTATAGTCTCTGTTCTTTTGACTCTCAGTTTATTTTTAAGCTTAGTTCAGTGGGCTGATTTGAAGCTGCACTTTGGTCATGTTATTTATAAATAAGAGCAGCCCTGGGGGAGTGTAGCAAGCATTTGTCTGGTGGTGCTTTAAGATGCTCACTCAATGTTTGTGTTCTGTTGTGGGCTTTTTTCTTGGTGGTGGTTGTTTTGTTTGTGGGTTTTGTTTTTTTTATTCCCCTGGAGTTAAAAGCTGGTCTAAATTTCTTAACACTTGAAACTGGTGGTGCTTTGTTGAATGTTCTGAAAGCCATCTGTATGCTGTCTTGCATTCTTACATTAACGCAATGATGATTTTCAGGCTTTTGGAGCTCCCCGGCTAACAGCAGCCCCCCAGATACTTCGCCTCCCCAAAGGCCTGTGCCTTTGGACCCTGCTTGTAAAGACTCGCGTCAGCTCTGCCTTATAAATGGAGTGCATTCTATACGAACGAGAACGCCTTCGGAACTGGAGTGCAGCCAGACCAACGGAGCGCTGTGTTTCATTAATCCCCTCTTCTTAAAAGTGCACAGCCAGGATGTCGGTGGAAGTCTGAAAAGGCAGAGCCCAAGAACTCAAGACGTGAATGGCACAGCGAGGCCTCGCTCCCCCCCGCCCCGGCCGCCACCTCCTTCTATTAATAGCGTCCTCACGAGTCCGCAGCTTTCCAGGACTATAAAGCAGGCGAGCATGCCAGAAACAGTCAGCCATAAGAAGGAGAGAGGCTTGGATTCGCTGCCGAGTAAACCAACCCCAATTCCGCCTCCTCGGCTGAAGAAACAGGCTGTTTGCCCGGAGGGGGAAGGTGGCTCCAAGGCCGTGGCAGTCGCTCGCCCTGGCTGCAACTCGGTGCCTGTGCCCGAAGCTGCTGGTGCTCCAGGTGAAGCCCTGCCCGAGCCGGCTCCTGCAGCCGCCAGAAAGGCGGCAGCCGCCAGCTCTGAGTCACACATTGGGTGGGATGGAGGCAGGCAGAGGCTGAGCGACATGAGCATTTCCACCTCCTCGTCTGACTCGCTGGACTTCGACCGGAGCATGCCGTTGTTTGGCTATGAGGGGGACACCAACAGCAGCCTGGAGGAGTTTGAGGGGGAAAGCGACCAGGAGAGCATGGCACCCCCTTTGAAGCCCAAGAAGAAAAGAAACAGCTCGTTTGTCCTCCCCAAGATTGTGAAATCTCAGCTACGCAAAGTCAGTGGAGTTTTCAGTTCCTTCATGACCCCTGAAAAGAGGATGATTAAGAAAATTGCAGAGATGTCCCAGGACAAACGCACTTACTTTGGATGCCTGGTGCAGGACTATGTCAGCTTTCTGCAGGAAAACAAGGAGTGCCATGTTTCGAGTACTGATATGCTGCAAACGGTTCGGCAGTTCATGACCCAAGTCAAGAACTATTTGTCCCAAAGCTCTGAGCTTGATCCCCCAATTGAGTCGCTGATTCCAGAGGACCAGATCGGTAAGAAACATTGTCCTGTGTTTTGCGAGAAGGGGAAAATGTGTGTTCATAGCCATAAACTGTGTCAGTTGGGAGAAGTGGGGTTGACTTTGCTAGCAGAGTTTGAGCCACTGAGTGCTTGAGTCTTAAAACACCACAACACGTACTCCCTGCTCCCAGTCACCCTAGCAACTGTGGAGAACTATGCCTCAGAGTTGTTTGTAAGAAGTTGTCCTTAAAACAGCTGCGGTGTGGACTTCTTACCTGATTATTGATCCCTTTTATTTTAGTTGCTGTACTGTTAATAATACAGAATCCTGTTGACACGTGTATTTTTCCCAGAACTGGGCTGAAAATAGTTCCCGGTACTATGCCAATTTTAACCGTATGGATTGTAACCATAAAACTAGAATTTATTTGAAACCAGTGACAATTAGGAGCAGAGAGACATTTCATAGCAACTTAGTTTTGAAATAAATCTCATTCTTCCAAACATCCTCATTATCTTCTAGCAAAGCTGTATAGTCCCTACACTTGAAGAGAAATAAAAAGGGATATGAGAGTCTGAAAAAGAAACAAATGTGTGCAAGAGAGAGAAGAGCATGCTAATCTCAGGCATTCTGTACGTCTGTTATGTGTACATGTTTATAAATGGTTGCAGATGAGCTATATATTTGAATACGTTTGAACAACAGACTTATGTATCCACAAAAGTGAAATCATTGTTGCTGCATGAAATATCACTGCCTTTCTGCCTTGCCCAGTCTGAGCAGTATTTGTAAAAGAGCCTATAAGCCACATTTAGGAGGTAAACACCCTTCAGGGCAGAATGCTTTCCTTATGAGGTCACTTCAGTCTTAATTTGCTTGTTTTTCTGCTGTATCCCAGTGTCCCAACAGCTGGCCCGGTGCAAAACTGGCAGAGAGTAATTCTTTTTCTGGGACTAGAGGCTGGTTTTATGTTGACATTTCTGTCTGTCCTTGACCAGGAGGAAATATTCTCCCAACTTCAAATTTGTTTACACAAAGTCAAGCGAAAGTAACTAATACTGCTAAAGCAAATGCAACACTGCAAAGAGTGTCCTCAGAATTGAGAATTTCAAAGACTTGTAATGTTCTCACTGGAATAATACAGAATATTGTGTAGGTGTTATGGGGAAGAAAAAAAAAAAAAACAAAACAGAATTGAGCAGTGGTGCAGGCACATTTTCGTCTAGATTTCTGCAGAGTACTGGGTATTTGACAAAGAAATACAGATTTAGTTTCCTTGTAATTTTTTGAAAGCTTGGTTTGACTTGTACCTCTCATAAGGATGTGGTTAAGTTGTACTGTAGGTTTCTGAAGACTGGAAGAATGCTGTCTACTTCAAATACTTCTGCAGTTTGGAGTTACATAAGCTATGAAAAGTAATAACTATACTACAATGGTTTTCTTCAGCGACAGAAAGTCTGGCTTTGATCATATGATTACAATTAACTTATAAAGCAGGACAGTTTACACAAAGGAGGAACTTGCGTTTGAATCATCTGCTGCTTATGGCTCGAGTCTGCAAACAACCACAGTGGATCAGGAGCCATCAGATGCTGCTGATCTAAGCAGATAACTATGTAACAGGAAGATTTAGTCATCCCTGTAGAGAACTTTTTATGATGTATCCCTATTACCTGCAGTTTTGCTTGACTCTTTCAGTATGGAATTGCTGCCTGCATTTTAACTTTGAGTAGTCATTTATCTGCTCTTGTCAGTTTGTCCTCCCGTGGTGCAGGTTTTTCCTCTCCTTGTGTCAGCCTGGGGCTGGATGTGCGCCGCTAAAGCGTCTCCTCCTTTCTGTTCACCGTGGACTGCCCCTTGGCGGTGGCAAGTCAGTGCCAGGGCTGAGAGCCTCTGCTCGGGTGGCTGCTGCATGAGAGCAGGCAGAGCTGCTGCTGCCGTGGGCCTGTTCTGGGCAGCCAGGCTTCACCGCCTTCTGCTGGTGTCTCCTGAATGTTGGTGGGTGCTGCTGGAGCAGCACCCCTCCAGGCCTAGTGAAGCAGGTGGTGTTTGGAACTTTCTCCCGTGCCTGTGTGATGATGTTTGTGATCATGGAGTTTTTCTTGTAGGACTGCATCACGGACTTTCCAGACTCCTGCAAGCGAAAGATTTCCATGGAAGATGGGTTAATTTTCCCAGACAGAGGGCATGTCACATTCTTTAGCTTCTGCCAAGTCATCAGGAGAATGTGCATCATTGGTGTTGCTAATTATGCCTGACAGGTGCCTCCTAATCATAGCTTTGTAGGCTGTTAGCCCTTCCTGAAACAATGGGATTTCCCTATGTTGAGACAGTCAAGACTAGGCATGTGACTCTTTATTGTTTAAGGATGAATGCAAAGTGTTGGTGGTTTTTTTAAGTTGTCCACACCTGAATATGGCTTGGAGCCTTGGAGAGAACATGTTGGCCCCTTGGTGGCTGGGCATGGCTTGCCACAGGGACTTGGATCTGTATAGAGGATCCAGTGTGCCAGCTGCTGAAGGGAGGCTTCTCTGAGCAGCACTTTTGCTGAGAGACAGTATCTTACTTGGCTTATGAGATTTTTATTGTGCTAGCTTGGGGCCTGTTTCCAGTTTATGAAGGTAACTTTAAACCTGATCTCCAAAGAACTTGCAAAGCCCTTCTCCAACCCCCATCTCGATGTCACGTGGATTTTGTATGTGAACTCTGCTTTATCATCTGAATTTTAATGGAAATACTAAATCTTTTCATGCTGAGCCCCATGGCGGTTCTTGGCAAATATGTCTTGTCTGATAGCCAACCATGGATAATTGGGTGCTCAATACAGTATTTTATGTACCTGTTCATGGACCCACCTTATGGTAATTACAGTAAGACAATATTTCCCTTTTTTGCTTATAGGAAAGTTGCATGGAATAGTGTTATGGTTCTTAAAAAGGTTAAGGTACAGCCTACCTGCTCTCTTCTTCTTCACCAGTTGCATTATGGTTGTAAAGGAATTAGAATAGTATCCTACTACTAATTCCTGAAAAACTCACGTTGTCTGTTTTTTAGCTCTATGTATTTTTTCAGTGCTTGCACTTTTTTTTTTTTTCTTTCCTATCCCCCTACCCTGTTGTTCTTTCTACTATCTTTTCAAGTTGAGTTGAAGGCAACCAGTGTCCTCCCTGGCACACCCCCTTCTATGGGAGCAAGGGGATAGGGCAAGTAAGATGCAGTGGTAAAAGTGCTGAGCAGAGGAACATGATTTGGTTCTCCCATTCGTAACCATCCCTTTCATTTGCTTTGTGACTTATTCCTTGCTCCTTTATTACTACTTCTTTATGAGAAGAGATGTGTTTTCCACACAGGCATAGGATGATTTTTAATTAACCTACAGCTGATGAAAGCAAAACAAATATAGCACAGGTAGTTCTGTGATTCTTTTGGTGTGCTTCATGTAAGTAAAATTTACCCTAGGCACCTTTCTTCCCTAATTTCTCAACTTTCGTCACTGTCATCCACCTCAGTTCTACCTGTGTGAGGTCTTGCTTTCAAGCCTTGCTCCTTAGAGGAGATGCCCTTGTCTGCACCATGGGCTAGGCTTGTGTCACTGTAGACATCCACCCAGAACTGGACACTTGGCTGTCCTGACATGAACTGTCATAAAATAAATTTGTATCAGTTGTGCCAGTCTATGAACATGCAAAATATTAGGAAAATCCAACACAAAGGCAGTGTAGTCAGGTGTCCTGCATGTACATACATGGTGTTTCAAAGCAAACTTCTGCTTCCAGCCTCCCAGGTAATGTTGCTTGTGCAGGACTGTCTTTTTGTGCTGGTTTCCAGGCTCACTCAGTCTTACTGAGCTTTTCTTTTACTGATAAGTGATTTGGCCATCACAGGTGATAAACGGGACTTGTGTATAAATCCAGGGACTGGAATCTGACAGGCAGTCTCACTGGAGCAGCAAGAGCTGGTAATAGCTAAGCTGACAGCCTGGAAAAGGCCAGAGTGCGCCTGCAACTTCAGGCAGTGAGGGCTGTAAAGAGGCTGTGTAAGGACACTGGCTATGACTAACACGTTGTCCTCCGTAGATGCAGACTTCTGTGATTTGCAGCGAAACAAAATTGCATGTCAGCACAGGATACAGATGTGTTTCCACAAGTCCCAATGAAACTAGCTGGCTGGCCTTTACAATTCAGTTATCAAAGCATTTCCAGTTCCCTTTTTGAGGCCAGAGCCTAATTATAGGTACGATTTCAGGAACTCTGTGTGGCACTCAGCTGAAATGATACTTAAAAAAAAAAAAAAAAAAAAAATCTGAAAAGTGTCTGTTTTGGATTTGGAGTATGAAGCATCCTGGGAGGATATTTGAAAACACCTTGTGTATGCTGAAGTAAACAGGAATTTTTGTCGTCAGTTTGGATCTTTGAAATAGGCATTGTTACCACAAAGCATCAGTCCTCAATTCACAACTTTGATGCACATTTGCTTGGGAGACAATTCTGTGCACTTTTTTTTGTAGTCATTAACAGTGAAAGCTGCTGCTGGCCTGGAATTGTTTTGTGGGATCATATCCAGAAACACCTTTCTCTAAAAAGGGCCAGTAACAACAGTGGACAAGAAAGGGTTAGTAGTTGGATGATCTGATCCCAAACATGCTTATAGGTGTCTGACACTGAATATTGGTTTAAGAACCATATCAAACAAAACACTGTCCTTCCAGGCTTTAATAATAATACAAATTTTCTATAGGTGTTAAATTAATTGGGATACATATGGGTGTTGTTACCAACGATTATAAAAAAAGTCCTGTCCTTTTCAATCTTGCTATGGTTTTGTCCTCATCATTTGCTGGAATTTGTCCCTTTAATCTGAGGGCAAAACTTTGTGGTTCTTATGTCTATGCCAAGAATTTAGAATGGAGAAGAAAAGGTGAGGTATTGTTTTGCATTTGTTTGGTTAGGTGTTTTTTTTTGGTGGTGGGTTTTTTAAAGCAACAAAACCCACAAAAAGTTTGTGTGCACTGTTGTATCTTAGTCACTTCCTTGTTTATTAGCTAGTTCTGTGCAAACATGCTGCGTTAAAGTGACAGTTTCTCTTGGTTTACCTTTACCAAGGCAGTTAGTATCTCTTTGGAGTCACAGCTGTCCTTTATATAATTTACCTTCTATTAGCTGTAATACAGTCACTGAAGAGTAATGAAGGATGCCTTACTAAATATCCCATCCTATCTTATTTGCCTGATTGCACTAACAGCACAGAAATCATTAGGAACAGCCTTCAGCAATAAGTACTTGGACCCTGCATGGAGCTTTGAGCACAGCCATGTGAGTCTGTTAGCTTCTCTCTTCCTCTGTGCTGCTTCAAATCAATTTAAATGCCCAGAGAAACTGTGGAATGTGATCAGGTAAACTTCAAAACAATTTCCAGGCACTGCTTTTGGAGCTGGTGGTGAATTGCAAATATGAGAGAACTCCTTCTTGCCATCTTGCTGTAAAACAGCCATAAAAACCTGTGAGATTCATCTCTTTGGGGAGCTGTGGGAGTGGCACTAACTTACTAAGGGCTGAGGGCAGAAGACTTGAGGCTTCCACATGTCACCTACAGATAACAAGGCTGGCCCAAACCAAGGACTCTGGGTCTCTGTGGAGGAAATTTCCCTCCCAGCATCATCCAGTTCCTGTAGCCTCTGGGGAGGGACTGCTGCTGCAGCTGCCTTCCCGCTGATGCTGCAGGCAGCAGCAGAATCGGCTCCAACCTGGAGCTCATAGGGGATCAGCCACAGAAGTATACTGACCTTTCTGATCTGCTATCCCAGGCTTCATTATCTGACTAAGGGATTTGAGGATCCACAATTAACGCTTCACAATTTATTGAGCTGCCTGCGACCAAACGTGGTGGTGACTCCACTTCCCTGAGATAAAGAATGGCTGGTGCCAACCATTAATTTTGCAGAACTTCCAGGGGAAGTGTGTGGGAGTTGATTTCAGGGGGATAGAGAGTTCTCTTGCTTAACATAATGTTTGGCAGCACCGAGAGCTTTAATTTTGACTTAAACAAGACCAAGCAATTGGAATGCAAACTGCAGAGTTATTCCACTTACAAGCAATGAAGTTCGTGCTTTTGTTGTCTAAAAATCTGAACAGGCAGTAGAAATAAAGTTAGATTGTCCAAAAAAAACACCTCTCAAAGCCGTCATCAGTGAAGCTGGCAAGGAACTGTGCATATTCTCTAGAAATTCAGCTAGCTGAAATACCCATGGATGCAAATTGCGTGGGTGGTGGTTTTGTGTTGGTGTGTTTTTTTTTTTTTTTTTTTTTCCCTTGGTGGAAGAGAATTTCTGCCCCAAGGGTTGCTTTGATGGCAGCTTCTGCCACTGCACAGAAAGGTGATGCTTCTGTTTTCCCAGCTGGGTTTGGTAGGGCTGTCTGTGGTGACTGGGTGGCTCTGAGTATATTGGTAAGGATCAGTCATTAGAAATGTTGCCATTTGTTACATATAATTGGCAGCTCTGGTCCAGTGTGAAGCTGGATCCACCATTCACACTGGGGCAGGCCATCAAGAACACGTCAGACTGGTTATGCCTTTACTGCTGACCATAGGGAAGTCCAGAATATCAGAGGGCAAATGCTGCTCCTTATGCTCACTCTTTCTCCCTTTCAGCAGCTTTCACAGCCTCTGTTGTGAGAACCCAGCTGCATTTAAGGCATCTGGGAATGAAGCAGACACAGCTTTGCCTCTTTTGTTGGGGTCTCGGGAGTCACGTGGAAAAACAGCAAGGGAAGCTACAGAAGCCGCATCAGAATGAGGATAGGGGAGATGGGAGCACCTCATATAGTTGGACGTTTGGGAATTGCATGCCAGACAAATACAGAACAAATGCTGTGTGTGAGGCAGAGGCACTGTAAGAGAAGTGGTATGTGAAGGACTTTTTTTTTAAATGGGAAAGAAGTATTGAAGACCCCAAAGGAATAAATGACTGAACACAAGGATAAAATAATTGAAGGCATAAAGCAAAAGCGAGAAAACAGAAGTCGGTAATGCTTGTTTGGGGTGGTGGTGCATGCATGTGTAAATCCCAAGCCCTAGAAATAGTCTGCAATTTAAAAAAAGAAAAAAGGGAGAGAAAAGGCTGTGGTCCAACAGCAAGACATAAGAACAAGCAAAGAACCTGGAAAGGGCAGGAGGTTTAATGAAACTTCAACGAGTCACTACTGTTATCAGGAGTGTCCGCTGCTGGCTTGTATAAATGTGTTACCTAGTAGTGACGTGGTCTCTATTCTTTCTCTTCTTGCTCCCTGTGCTGTCCTAGTACATCTGCCTACTGTGGGGTCTGGTCATGCCCCACCGTCAGGGTGTTGGTGCGGTGGCCAGGTTGAAGGGTCCCCAGTTTCTTTTGTGCTTCTGGGAATTCACTATGGTACAAATAATTGATGTAGGCTAATTATTAATATAAGCTGTATTGCCATAGGGATGCTGAGTGGAGAGGAAATTAGCTTATAAAGTAAAGGTTTACAGAGACAATATTTAGCAAAGAGCCTTCTCTGTTACGTGGTCCAGACTTTGAAAATGGAGAATGACTGTTTAAAAAAAAAAAAAAAAAAAAAAGTGACTAGAACAAGGATAAAAAAACCCCAACAACCTCAGTTAGTGGTTACTGTGCCACGTGCACGCTATTGCCAAACAAAGAACTTCAAACTTGATGACAAAGCCGTATGTAAGCTTGCGTGGTGAAATCCAAAGCTGGACAAACACAGCTTAGTTTTAGTTTGTAGCTTAAAGTCCATAACCTGTCCAAATTCATACAGATTTGGACAAATTTGAGCCAAGTTTTAGGAGACCTTAGTTGATTATAGTTTGATGGAAACTATGCAAAAAGCGTGGGTATTCATGCCAAAGTGGAAAACTTGAGCTTAAAGTCTAAGCTCAAAGGAAAATAAAGCAAAAGAAGTTAACTGGAGCTACAGCTTGTGCTTTTTTTTTTCTTTGAGTCTGTAGCTTGTCTGTGCTGTGTATTTCTTATAGTTACCACATTGCCATAAATGAAAATAGAATACAAATTCCACTCTGCCTTTTGCTTTCTTGTTAACAAACATCTGGAAAATCAGCTTGTATAATAAATAAATCCTAGCAAGTAGGCTTTGCTCTACAGTCTCTCATTTGGGAATGGTTATATTAATACTGGCTTGGCTCTAGAGGAGGAAACCAGTCAGCTGAACGTGTTTTCTTGTTGCAGATGTTGTCCTGGAGAAGGCCATGCATAAGTGTATTCTGAAGCCGTTGAAGGGCCACATCGAAGCGATGCTGAAAGAGTTTCATACTGCAGATGGTTCTTGGAAACAGCTAAAAGAAAACCTGCAGTTGGTGCGGCAGAGGAGTCCTCAGGACCTGGGCGTGTTTGTTCCAACACCAGACTTTGTGGATGTTGAAAAGATCAAAGTCAAGTTCATGACCATGCAGAAGATGTATTCACCTGAAAAGAAAGTGATGCTGTTGTTGAGAGTTTGCAAGCTGATTTACACTGTCATGGAGAATAACTCAGGTATGGTGCTTCCCATGGTTCAAGTTCATTGATACACCATACCTGGGGTTGTCTTTTAGTGAAGGAAATCAGACCACTTAATTCTACAGATGTGAAATATCTCCTTCTCCTTTAGCTCTTATACTGTACCCTTGCCATCTTGAGAGGGATTCTTCTCTCGCTTCTTTCCTAGTATTTCTGATGTGTCTAGTAACACATCTTACAAACTCAGTGTGAAGCTGAGTTGTGAAGCAGCTTAAAAAAAGCAGCATTGCTTAACCATAGGCTTTGGAAGTTGGTTTTCAGGAAGGCTGTCTGGTGAGCCCCAAAGTTGACACTGGTTCTAAATTAGTATTTTTCTGCAAATCGTCATAGAAGTAATACCCTGTATTTAGCTGTAATAATTCAGTGGCACATATGCAATATGACCACTACAAGGGCTCTGTGTTATTGGGTGGAGGAGAATAGCCTCTGATCCAGTATTTTTGGTTTGCTGTGCCTCTGAATGCTCTTACTTGGACACTCTTCTGTGTTTTTGGAACAGAACTAACATCTAAAAGTGACCTTGAAACCTAGATAAACCTAGATAATGAAATGGAACTACAGAGCAGTTACAACATGCTGAGTACTCAGTGCCAGTATGTCTTGTCATACATTGCTGTGGTAGTTCACAAGCTAAGGTGAAGAAAAACTGGTGGTGGTGGTAGATTTTTTTTTTTTTTTTCTCCCTAAGCAAATACAAGCTGCTGCAAGTGGTTGGCAGTTTTCTTTCTAAGTGAGCATTGAGTGTGCAGCTGAGTCTGGTGCTGATTGAGATGCCTACTTTCATTTGAGATGAATGGTAAAAGGTTGTGGCTGTTAAAGACCTCCAGGCAATTTTGTAGGGTCCAAGCTCCTGCCCAGCTTATGACTTCTGTGCAAAATCCTGCATTTTAAAATGGCCCTGGGAGTCTCGGCCTGAAGTGTGGTAAATTCTTTTCTCCGTGCGGTGTTATAACATTGAGTAGGGCATTTCCAACATGCAGAAGAATAGTATCAAGGGGCTGCTGCCAGTTAACTGTGGCACTGAGGGGCTTGGGCTAAGAGTGGCAGATGCTCCTCAGGTTGTCTTGTTTTGTCATGCAAATTTTGTAAAACATGGCATTGAGCCAGCAGATGTTTGAATATCTGCTTTGTCCTGCACTCAGCCAGATGATAGTGGCATACCTGCAAGGTATGCCTTAGCTGGTGTAACTTCAGATATCAGCCCTTCAGTCACCTGGAGTTTCACCAGAGTTTAAGTTGGCTCCTGCTCCTGGTGGTTTTAAGTGACCGTCGCACCAGTTCTGCAATGAACACAGTTTGGCCAGACCTGGAGATTTGGCCACGTAGTATTTTCTAAACAAAATGTTGAAATGCAGTAGAAGTGATAGGAATGCAGACAGAGGTGCAGGGGGAGGTCAGGTCAGACTGGCATGGCAGACTTTTGTGAGTTCTCCATTTAAGCTGGTGCCAAGGTGAGCCCAGTCTTTAAATTGCCTTGTATATCTCAAGGTGCTCATTGTCAGATTTGTGCTTAAGCTGGTGTTGATCTCCTGTCCAGTGAGTGTCAAAGCATGTTCTCTCTGCTGCATGTTGGTAACGGGAGGCTCTAGGGTAATACAAAAGTGCTAATAGAAGAGACCCAGCTGAGGGGTAAAATCACTGAACAGAATTGTTCTGTTCTGACTCGAATCAGGACAGCTGGTCAGTGAAGGCAGCAAAATAATGCTTTCCTTTCAAACTCTGAAACTGGTAAAAAGGTGTGGTTTGTGTATCACTATCTGTGTTCCCTTCAACCCAGGGAGGCTGTATGGAGCTGATGACTTCCTGCCTGTATTGACATATGTACTAGCCCAGTGTGACATGCTGGAGCTGGATACTGAAATTGAATACATGATGGAATTGCTGGATCCCTCTCTGCTGCATGGAGAAGGTAATCTTTTTTTATCAGAATTGAGTGAAAGGCCTAGGGGAAGGGGGTTTCTTCACCATAGTGCAGTTGCTCTTAACCTTGTTTGAATAGAAATCCTTTCAAGGGGGGTCCTGCAGTCAGTGACGTCAGTAGTATAACAAGAGACTCTCATAATTATTTCCACCAGAAAGCAAGAGAAAGCTGCTTGTGCCTTCAGAGTACAGCCCGGAGTGACCAGGGAATCTGCTGATGTATACGACCTTATGAGGGAATATGGGGAATATGTTGCTTTCAGCCAAACAGGGGGAGCCGTCATGACATGTGCACTGTGCAGGTGCCAAGTGTGGTTATCCCTCTGTGCCTCAAAACATCCCCAGAGTATTACAGGGCCGCAGCACTGATACACTGTGAGACACGGAACGGGACTCTGGTTAGATGCTTGGTGAAAACTACTAGGGCAATTCCCTGTCCTTCTGGGGGAAGTGCTTTTGAGAGTTTTGGCCCTCTTAGTGGTCTTTGTTTTGCCCCAGTGTTTGCTTCTCAAAGTATTTTGAGCCCTAGGCATATGTTCCCTAAGGCACTCCTGAGTGGTGACTGAAGTGTATTTAGAAGCAAGGAAATCTCCCTCCTTCCTGCGTTCATGGTGGTGTTTTTAACAGAGGTATTCTGCAAGCTCCAGGGCTTATTATAGGGCCCATAATCTACCAGTTCATGAGGAAGTGTGAAGATTCTTGTGACCGAGCTCAGCTGCGACTTTGTGTATGTTTTCCATTCCTGTTATCTTTTGGCTTGTTGATGCTGCTGTATCCTCTTGTCTGCTGGTATGCGTGAGAGAACTGTGCCAGGGTTCCCCTGATTTGGCCCTAGTCTGTTCCCTGCTTTGTGTACAGAGCATCCTCTAGTGCATTATTTAGGGATCTCAGCACAGAAAAAACTTGATGTGAAGCCTAACCCTAATATCATTGAAAAGCAGAAACATTTACTGGAATATTAAGTCATGTTGGTTTTACTGCAGCAGAAGAAGTCAATCTGTGGGCTGGCCCTGTCTTTGGCAGCAGCTGAACAGTACTGTGCAGGAAAAATTGCTTAGTGCTTTTGGGTTGTGCAGTTCAAATGAATGTATTGACCAATTTGTCTCATGGGTCTTGTGTGTGGTTTATGTATTAAATGTGTGCAAACCTAAAGGCCAAGAGGATTTTATCAGTAATGGAGAAAAACAGTACTGTGAAAAATAGTATGCTCTCTATGTGAGAGCATGGAATGTGTCATTGACTCCACAAGTAGACTGTGCTGCCTCTTGACTGGGCACTCCCACTCTAATAAAAATAAAAGAGAGAGAAAGAAATGACAACACATCTTTTGTTTCTCCTGGTTGTAGAGGACTGCCTTCTGTTGAGACTCCTTTTTCTTTGTGGCCTGTAGCTTCTTTTGTACATTGGCAACTCTGTCGTGGCTTTTATTTGTTCTCTACTCTTGTAATAAAGGTGTACAATCCTCCGTACTTCACATCACCTCCTGAACTAGTTCAGTGTTATGGGGAACATTAAAAAGGTGACAACAGTCTTAATTTTGAAAAGTGGATGCTTTGAGATGCTTCCAGGGTACGAATCACACACCCAGCTGTTGCTCTGTTGCCACTAAGGGTGGTTGCTTTTAGGTTCTTTAACAGTGGTAGATTGTCTTCTACTCGGTTTGAACAGCTCTGTTTATTTCATCCATGCTTGAAGCTGAGGAAGAAAACAAATACTTGTTTGGAAATTGTTTAGAAGAAATCTTACCTTCCAACTTTGTGAAAACACTCAGGCTGAGGGAGTGACAGCAGTCATTGAAGTAACCAGCTATCCAGAGCACTGAGAGGGCCCATAGTAAGATAAGCACTGTTGCACTGCTTGGTACCAATACCGAGTACATGCAACTACTGCATGTCTCCTAGCAGCTCATAACACACCATCCAGTATCTTGCAGGCCAGTGAGCTGTCTTTATGCATGAACATTTTGGTGGTAGAGTACAGGGACTTTCACATCTATGTACGGGGCGGGGGGTGTGTGTGTGTGTGTATACAGAAACAAAAAAAAAAGGTGACTGTGACCACTTGGAACAAGTGTGATGTTTATTGCTATTCTGAGAAGTTCTTCCCTTGCTTCACAGGAGGTTATTACTTGACAAGTGCTTACGGGGCACTTTCACTCATCAAGAACTTCCAGGAAGAACAAGCTGCCCGGCTGTTAAGTTCAGAAACCAGAGATACTCTCCGGCAATGGCACAAGAGGAGGACAACTAACAGGACGATACCTTCAGTTGATGATTTTCAGGTAGAGCTTAGGGCTGAATTAAAGAACAGTGGGTGATTGCTTTGTTGGAAATCCCCATTTGAGAGGTACCATTCATAATGATTCTCTTGAGGCCAAAAGGTAAGTGGAGTGAAGCAGTGCTGACAATATGGCTGGCAAATTTGCCTTCATTTTGAAGTCTTTATACTTTATAGTAGAGCTTGATTATGGTGGTCTAAAGAAAGCACTAAATAATGGAGCTTTCTCACCCTCCCTTTTATTTAAGCCATGCAGAGCCAGGACAGACTGAGTCATATCTTAGATTTAGCTTCTTTGCATACTTTGGTGTTAAAAAAAAAAAAAAAAAAAAATCCAGACTTCCAGTGGTATAAATCAGCACAACTCCCTAGCTAATGGTGGCATTCAGCAGGTAACAGGAGAGGTGGGAGTAAAGCTTGCCTACAGTTTTAAAGTCTAAGCAAGAGGTAGAGTTTTGTACTGTGGATGTCTTCATGTCTGTCTGTGTTTTTTCTCTCCCGCTCCATTTCTTACTGGCCTTTCAGAGTAGGGCAGTAACTTCAAGTGAAGAATAACAAAACTGTTGGACTGACTTCATCTCTTCACACCAGGCCTGCATGTCTTTCATAAAGTAAGCTGTTGGTTGTCTGTTCCGATGCATTTATTCGTGGACTGAAACAAGAAGGATGTTGGAATCAAGAAGAATTTCCTCCTTTGCGTTCTTTTGTTTACAGTTCATAACACAGCACAAAGTTGGTGGAGAGGCTAATGACAGCCATTAATGAGACATGATGTAGTTAAGAGCTTGAAAAATGAACATGTGGGGTCATCAGGAAATAATGAAACCTTTCAGTTGAGGCTTCTGCTTTGTCAGTGTTCATGCAAATGACTACGGCACAACACAGAGCAGGAAGGAGTTGGGAAAAGAAGCAGTCTTCCACAGTTTGCCTCTCTGATAAACCAATTCCAAACTAAGGCACAAAGCTAGTCTGCTTTAGTGGGATCCATTTTATCTTCTGCTTACTTGTAGTTAGGTGTCAGATTGAAGTAACTTGAGGCTCTGTTCTTTCTAACAAAACTCTACACTTTCCATGGGAAAATTGATCACCTTGTATTTCTGCTGGATGATGAAATGACAGAAGATTGTTTCAGCAGGATCTTGTATTCTGTTTCACCCTTTCTTCCTCAGCAGTGAGCTTCAGCCAAGCTAACCTTGCAGCTGGGCACTGTGCTGTATGCAGGAAGATGCAAAGGGGAAGAGTTGGCACTGGCTGTGTCCAGTGCTGCTCCTTCTGTTGTCTCTTTCAAAAGAGAGCCTTGGATTGGTAATATCAATCACTTCCAGGCTATACTTGGCACAAATTCAAGGGTTTTGCTGCCTGCTCAGAATGCTGGTTTTCCATCTCCTTTCTTCACACCCTGCAGTCCTGGAATGAGGCACCTTGCCTACAACCTGTGTAGCACAACTTCAGCTCAACTTCTCTTTGCCACATGGAACCAGGATGTGATCGTTGCGTTTCTGTGATGTGGTCTCAGCCTTAGCAGCTTTTGGGCCCTGCCTGGAAGGCTGCCTTCCTCCCTCCCTCCCTCAAAAGGATGGAAAAGCAAAAAGTCCCATATTTTGATGATGATTAAATAAAGCTTTCTGATACTGCATAAATAGTGTTGATACTTAGAATATAGTTACAGGCATTTATATGAGTTACAGGCATTTGTTTAAGCTTCAAACTCTCCTTGAAGCAATCCTTTCTAAAATCCCATGCATTTAAAACCAGGACTTTTCTGTCTTAACTGCGTTAGAAATTAAAACTCCAGTGTATTTTGCTTTACCTGAGGCTGATTTTTTTTAAAAAAATTTCTTCACACTGGGTAACAAAAATGGATTATTTCTATTCAGTCAGATTCAGTCCCAATGGTTTAAAAGCTGTTGCAAAGCTGCAGTGTTTTGGTCTGCAAGCTATCAAAAAATACTTCATGAAAGACAAGAATGCTATTTGGAACTTAAGTCATAGGAATGTTCTTCTCAGTCTTAGCTTCTAACAGCTGTTTTTTATCATATGTACATTTATACCATTGTGATTCAGCATGCTTATTTTATTCAGCACACAAACATAGGTACCACCTCAGTCAATAAGCTGCTGTTTTTTTCCACCTCACTTGTACTCCTTTTTAGTCTTTAATTGCAATTAACTTATTTTTAAAGAAAACACAACAGCAAGCTCCTTTGTTCATGTGTCCAAATTTTTTTTTCCCCCCTCTTTTCCCTGTTGTTACTTTTTACTATGCTTTTTAAATGACTTTTGAAAGGCATAACTGCATTTCATTGTAGATCATATTTAAAATTTATCCTTGTTACTGGTTCTGGGCAAGTGTCAATTTCAACAGAGAAAAAAGGTCCAACTTTTGCCTCAACCACATGGATTTGCTGCAGTGTTGCAGAATGAATTTTCTTCCTGCATCCCGTTGATTGTTATTTAGCAAAAGAAAATACTGTCAAATGAAACTTGGTTACATCTGGCTCAGACACCAAACTGCCACTGGTTAGGATGATGAAGATGCCCTGCCTGAGGATGGATTACCTTTTGCATGCTGTGGCCTAACAGTGCAAACAGCTGATCGTGTAGCAGCTTGTGGATGAACACCCCTGCGTGCTGCTGGCAGAGGCTTTCGTGTGGTGTTGTGTGGTTTTGTTGTGTTTTTTTTTTTTTTTTTTTTTTTTTGTTGTTGTTGTTGTTGTTTGTTGTTTGTTTGTTTGTTTTCCCCCTTCTAATGTACTGTGTGAAGCTTCTGTTCTGTAGTACTGACCTTGCAGAGGCAATGTTATCTCTTGGGCTGCGGCCTCAGACTTTCATTTTGCTTCACAACATTTTGTTTCCTAGGAAGGCCAAATATCAAGTCCCATTAAAAGCAGTGGTGTTTTCCATGTGTTTTTAAGGCTGTATCCCTTCACTCTTAATTGCAGGGTTAAGATGTGGTCTGAGGAGAGGAGGGTGTCAGCTTGTGAATTTCTGTGGTGCCTACCAGGGTCTTGCCATGGTTTTACCACCAACATGGCAATTCACAAGGTGGCCATAATGTCCAGGAACCATTGGTGTGTGTTTCACAGCTAGAACATGGAGAGGCTTGTTGTTTGTTGCGTACTCTTCAGTTTTCAGAAGATGAGGTTAGGGTTTTTTAGAGTTTCTGATGTCTGTTTTCTCTTTCTACAGAACTACCTTCGTGTTGCATTCCAGGAAGTTAACAGTGGATGTACAGGGAAGACCTTGCTAGTAAGACCATATATCACTACTGAAGATGTATGTCAGCTTTGTGCTGAAAAGTTTAAAGTGGACAATCCAGAAGAATATAGTCTGTTTCTTTTTGTTGATGACACCTGGCAGCAACTGACAGAGGATACCTACCCTCAGAAAATTAAGGCAGAGTTGCACAGCCGTCCACAACCCCAGGTCTTTCACTTTGTCTACAAGCGCATTAACAGCGATCCATATGGTGCCATTTTTCAAAACAACGATGACTCAGCTTCTTAAAATCAGCAACTCGCCATTTTAATTTCTTTTCCTGGTTAGCTGTTGGAAAGATCCTTGATGGCTGCCTTCCTTAGGAGCTAAACCAGGTCTGATACTATAAATGCCTAGTAAAACATGCATGGACACTTCTAGCATTGCTCCCAAAATCCTGTGTAAACCATGCATATGGCCAGTTCTGTGGAATATTCCACCAGCGTGTTGGAGTGAACAGCCGACGTGGCTGAATTTCTTGTACTGCAGACTCTTCTGAAGCATATTACACTGTGGCCTTCTGCAGGTCTTTTGCTGTAGCGTGCAAAAATCTATTTTCATACACTCATCCTTTAGCAAAATGTAATTTTTGATTTAAATATATGTATGTTAGACAAGTATTTCAGTAAACTGGCTGGTATGAGCTCAGTTTGACCAGCGTGAGTTTGACAAGACTTGTCCGATGCAGGGCATCAGGTTAACTCAAAATTACCTGGATGATTGCATCCTTTCCTAATTTCTTTTTTTAAAGTACATAAAATTGCCATGTTTTTATCTATCTATATATATATCATAGAAATTTTATAGCAGTTGCAGGTAAACTGTCAGGGTTGTTTTTTGAAATATTTTTTTAGCTATAAAGTATTCTATAATTATGCATGTGATTTTTAACATTTAATATACAAGAATAAATCTCTTGCTGGTTTTAGAGTATTGCATTAAAAGTCTCTGTGGTTTCTATTGTTTTCCTGTTTACAGGAGAGTTCTTATGAAACTTCTGTTACCTATAAGGAGATTGTAACTTTGGCACAAGTGACTTCGGTGCCTTTAATCTGGTCTTGATGTACTGTGTTACCTGGATTATTGTTCATATGTGTTGTTTTAGACAAAACTAGGGGACTGGAGGAAAAAAAATGAAAGAAAAGGATGTAGAGAAGGGACAGAGACAAGAATGTAGAGAATCTAAGTTAGGTTAACTTAAAATGTGTTAGTCTGCTGGCTCAGGCTCCTTGATGAAAGTAAGCGAAAGGAGGTTGCTCAGAAACTTGTATGTAAGTGATGTAGATAGGTGCTGTCAAATCCCTCAGTTTATCACAGATAGTATGTGTTAGTAGAGAATGAAATCTGTCATGAAGGTGAAGAACAACACTATTTTGTGCAGTCTCTTGCCAGCACTGGAACGTATCTTGAACTGCGGAGTGTGTTGCAGCATATCACAGTTCCAAGTTACTTTGTAGGTGAGATGTGAGAGTATGTCCTACACGTGCCAAGATTAAACATTTTAAATGTGTGTTCTGTAGATTGGTCCAGGACAGCTGGTGCCATGGGTGACCATAGGACCCTGCCTAAGTTAGTGCTGCTCTCTTGAGTGGGACACGGCTCTCTACAGATCCAGTGTGAGCAGGATAGTGGAAGGCAGCTGACAACAAAAATGTTCCGTGGATTGTACAAGCAGAGATCTGTAGCTATTTTGTCTGTTTGCTATGTATGTGAAACCATGGGCGCTTGTTTGTGTTACATTTTGTAAATGGTGAGTTTTGCACAAAACAATACAATGAAATATGGAAATACAATCTGGGGTGTTGTGTGCTTTCTTTCTTGGGGTGGATGTTCTATTATGTTATCAAAGAAGTGCTTTGCACCTGGATGTAAATTTAGATACTGCTTCTTGCACTGCTCGGACCACTTAGATGCCTTTGCAAAGGAAGGATGGAGTAACATGAGCTAGGGCCGGTGTCTGACCTGAGCAGGGGCAAGTCCTGCACCGCACCTCTAGGCAGCGGCTCCCCGTGTCGGGCCGGG